TGCACGCTCTCTGCTGGAATTTTCAGGGTATTGGCCACTTGCCATAAAAGCTCCTGAAAAATATGGTAATCGTTGGGCTGGGTTGGGATGGCTGCAGTGAAAAGCTTCATTGGGCAAAAAGGAGGATATCCTCATTGGGATGGGATGGTCATCTATGTCCTGCTCTTTATGTGCGATATACCATGTATCAGCTGACTCTCATAAGATGGCATATGTGGAGAAGGAGACCTGACTCTAGATGCAGGAGCAATGGAAGAACCTGTAGAGGCACAGATAGGCTCCTTAAGGTGTCGCTGAGGTCATTTGGTGATCCATAAGTACTGAGGTGTCAGGGAGACCTGATCTGGGCCTTGAACTGCCCTCCTGGCTTGGATCTACCTGGTCCCAGGGAGGGAAACCTGTCTCCGCGGTCACGCTAAGTGATACTTTTCCTGATCCCTTTCTTCTGAAGAGGAGGCAGAAGAGGGGTTAGCAACTGTGACTGACTCCATAGTTGACAATGAGACTTTCTTGAGGACGAGTGAGACCTGGAGCTTAGGGTAGACCGCAGCTTACCAGAGCACTTGCAGAGATGGTCTGCTCGGGTTTGGTGGTATTCTTCCCCTGGGGCTCAGAGGAGACCCTCATGGAATATTCCAAGGGGAAAAAATTAAGGAGGAATTTCCTTACTGTTTGTGACCTCATAGAAAAAGAGGAACATACCGAGCATTTATTGGGGATATACATGTCACTGAGGCAGAAGGGCTCTTTGTGTCCTCCATTGATAGGAATAGCTGCCTCACAAGAGAGACAGGGTTTAAGACCTGAAGATTTGGATTCTGCTACCTCAGGAGAGTGCCGGTACTCGGAGCAAGTTCCCTAAAGTTGAAGTTTCTTTCTGCCTTTGTCTTTTTTGATAATGGGCAGTAAAGCGACAGTATTCTAAACTACACAACATTAATAACTACAGCTAATTAACAGTAACAGTACAAACTAGAAAGAATAAGAGATGAAACAGTGTGCAGAGAAGGGAATGCTGCAGGGTTCCATTTTGCTCTCAGGGGCAGTAAGAAGTAACTTTTGGGGCTGTTCTGCCCTTTATACCCTCAGGTGGGGGTGTGCAAGGCTATGCAGGGCACAGGGACAACCCCAACAGATGCTCCAGTCCAGTCTCACAGGCACAGGGCACATGCATGTCAGAAGTGGAATCCATGTGGAAAATTACTTGAAGCACAACCCAGATTTCTTGACTCAATCCACTATACCACACCAGTTTCCCCTGAAATAACCTTATAGAATATAAAATCCTGGACCCAGACAAGCTTATATGTAGCCTTGGCGAACTTTGATTTTTATTTTTTTTATAAATTTTACAGATTAATGTCAATGCTTGTTTTTAGGCATTTTTTAAATTTAAATTTTCATAGTTGCAGGAAATTATGGGGGGAGGTGTCAGATAATAATTACTTAATGACAGCAGACACTGAGATGCAAAAATTGAAAGCTTTATAACCATTAGGACACATTGTCAACATCACATATCAAAATACACAAAGTAAATACCCTTAAATCAAACTCTAATAAAGTTCTCAGCCAGCATTTTTCTTACCGTGCCTAGTTGTAAGTTTCAATTATTATTGATGGAAATATTTGTCAGTTTGTGTACAATGAAATCAATGTTTATTGACTTTTATCAATAAAAATCTAATCCTTCCAAGCATGTTTATATGTAATGTGTCTTAGAATTTAGAAAATGAAACTCTTTGCCATTTATAAAAGCTCTAATCGCTAAAGGGGCTGTTTTTTAAGCTATCCCCTAAACACCCATATTTTACTGACACACATCCAATCATTGTACCACTAGAACTGCAGCTAGTACAGTGCTGCCTAAGCCCAGGTAGGTGCCCCTCTGTCCCATTGCTAGCATCTTTGGGTTCAGGAATAAGCAAGGACCAACTGGCATCATGGGTGGACGCCTTCCCTCCTGTTTGGCCACTGGAACGATATGTAATACTGTGGGATACATACAAGGTGCTGGAAGTGAGACCATCGGTGTCAGCAGAGATAGGAATTTTAGGAAGCTGATACTCTCTAGAAGTGAGACTGAAAAGTTTCTTAACGGCTCATGTGTTAGACCTTCTTTGGGACTCACGTAAGTGTTTTTTTGGGGTGGGCAGGAAAACTTGCTCTCTTCTCCTCAGTTGTTACTTTGTGTGGGTGCAAGGGAAGGCAAAGCTGATAAAGACAGCATAGTTTCCTTACTAATTACTCTTTCATAGTATCTTTCATTCCAGGATCACCAAACACCACATGAATGAGGTAGGCAAATGTTTTCCAGATGAGGAAATTCAGGAAAAGCACCCTCTACATGGGAATTTTTCAAAAATTTCCCACCATTGTTCACTTTAGTCCAGCCTCACTAGTGCTAGCAAGGTTAATAATAAAGAACTGCCAGTTACCCCTAATGCTTTAAGGAATGTGTCATCTCATCTTACTCAGGTACAATTTGGGAAAATAAATAATCTTTGCTACTTGAAATACCAAATACCAAAAAGGCAATACATTCAGTTCATTGGGATTTTTTGGTTCAGATTCAAGTATCTGTAAAAACCACATTGGCAGAAGCACTATTAACTGGATCAAGTTATATTCAAACCTGTTGCTAGAATTAGCATTAACTGGACTGTCTGAACAATTTGCTTCAGACAGACTAGAGAACTGATGAAAAGGGATATAATATTATTTACTCTGAGAAGTCCTTTCCAATAATGATCTAGCAAGATTCCTCTCCAACTGACTTTAGAATCATGGAATATCCAGGTTGGAAGGGACCTCAGGAGGTCATCTAGTCCAACCCCCTGCTCAAAGCAGGACCAATTCCCAACTAAATCATCCCAGCCAGGGCTTTGTCAAGTCTGACCTTAAAAACCTCACTGTAAGTGAGAAAAGGTGGGTGAGGTAATATCTTTTATTGGACCAACTTCTGTTAATGAGAGAAGCTTTCAAGCTTAATCAGAGCTCTTCTCCAGATCTTCTGCATAGTTACTGTAAATGGTGCATCAAATATTGTTATACATGGATATGTGCCAAAGACAAAAATGAAACTTCCCAAATTATTAAACATAGGTGACTATGGACGTTTATCTGTTTTGCATGTTGTTTCATCAGCCAAATTTTGTCTGACGTGTTCACTACATGGGCACTGAAAGCTCAGAAAGTCATTTGGGAACAGAATACCCAAGATTTTCAAAGTGGCTCTTAAATTCACATCAGTCCTAAACACGTGACCTGATTTTCAAAGGTGTTGTGAATGGAGCTGCTCTCATGGTCTTCAGTGTCTGCTGCAGGGTGCTCAGCATGTTTGAAAAATAGGGTCACTTGTTAAGGTGCCTAAATGTGGATTTAGGAGCCTAATTTTAGACACCCATCTTTGAAAATCTGCAGCTATAAATGTTAGAAAATAAGTTAATGAACAGATTTCCCCAGAAAATTGGCAAAACCACCCTAAGAACAATGAGAATGATACCAGAACTGCAATATCGCTCATCTTTCAAAATATCTCATTTGCACTGCAACATCATGCATTAAAAAGATGAAATGTTATTCTGATCAACTTAATGTGTTTGGTGAGATGGGTGAGACCCCAAGTGAAGCTGGACCATCTAATGCTCCTTTAAGCTGAATGGGCCACCCTATGGCAAGTATGCAGGCTTACTACTGGAACATTCGCTGCAGTTCATCTCTGTTTCAGGGAAATGAAACACTTGCACACTTTGGAAAAGGCACGTATGCATTTTATCTTATTTACAACATGTAAATAAATGCTTAATACTTATGTATGAAGTTGCTGAAAGGATTGGTAGCCTGCTAAAAAGTGGCACACTATATTGACAAGTTAAAAATGGATTTGTTCTTAGCCCCAGAAGTATTACTATGGATTTGCAGAGTGCTCGAATGCAAGCACTAGGGTTTGCAGAATGCTTGAAGGCAAGGGGGCTTAAAAAACATCAGACAAGGATAATTGTCTAAACATATCTAAATGAGCAGTTTGACAATCACATAACTATAATGACAAACGGAAGGCAGAAATGGTTCATGATAATAAAAATGGTGAAATGTAGAACAATGTACAGTATAGCTATAATATTTTCTATTTCCCCTTCCAGCGATCAATCTTTTAAATAGATTCACACGTGAGCGTGGCTGCCATCATATGATCTCATATATGTGTTTTATTTTATATAATACTGAAAAAATAGCAAGAGTAAGAAAGAGGCTGGGGCTTAATAGGACAACGTTAAACAAAGGCTAAGGGACTAATGTTAAAATATAAGTGGTAAATAAAAATATTGGGATAAAGAAAAATTACGTTCTCCCATTCTCTTGCCTGTATTTGGTATTTGTAGATTGTAACTTGTCTTCTGTCTGTGAACGTCTAGCACACTCTTGGGTACTAGGTAAATTGATAATTACAGGTAGGTTCCACTGTCTTAAGCAATACTAGCATAGAGATTCGAGAATAGATATTGAAGGTGTGTATGCCACAACTAAAGATGTGTCTGTACTTTCCAAACATTAATTAATTCAGTTTAAATTTGCATAGCACTTGTGTAAAAACTAGTTGTAAGACTAATCTGGGCATTTATTTCCAGTTGGTATGGGAATGTCCTCAGACATTTGTTGTGAATTCTGTAACTGGTATATTGAATATCGTTCTGCAGAGTGAACTGGAGCCATCTCCTGCCTTTCGTTGCTGACACTTCATGATTTTGTTCATTCTGCACATTCTAAATTGATTGAAATTGCTTTATTACTTGTGCAGAGGTGCACTGCCCTGAAATAATGCTGCAGTGTCATTGAGCCCATGGACTGAGAATACAGAGCTAAATTCAGGAGTTATAGCAGTGATGGATTTGGCCTGTGATGTACTGCGTATCTGCAGAAAAGGTTACCTATCAAAAAAGAGCAAAGTGAATCACTGTCCTTTACTGGGGAAAAAAAAGAAAACCTCCCACAAAGTATCAGAATCATGTCATTTTATTGTTAAACACAGTAAATAGGTAGTTATTCACTTGTAATGGGAGTTCTTGGAGTCTTTTGCCTCTGCTGAGCCACATTTGGAACTGCTTAGCAATTAAATACTGTAATGGCTGCCCTTGTACTTGTCTTGCAGAACACAGTATCAGGAGTGAGTATAAGAAAGATCTACAGCCACCATTTCCCCTCCGGTCCCTATCTCCTCTCTGCAGGAGAGCATGTAGACTTCAGACACCACCAGGAGCTTTGTGGACTTCAGTTTGTCTGTCTTGAGTGTGCCACACATTTTCTGTAGCGAACAGTTTACAAAATTAACTCTCCAACTGTTCAAAAAATGCTGCATATGAACATTTTTCAGACCAAATTTGTAATTTCCAGGTCAAGTCACTAAAAAAATTGAGAATATTTTATTAATAGAATTACTACTGAGGTTTTTTTCCTGCAGCAGTCATGTTCCAAATGTCGTCAGATTATATATAAGGTGCGTGTGCTAAAAGACAACATATGGAAAATTTCAGGGAAAACTATTTATTGTGAAGTTGCATTACACTGGATATCTATACACATCCCTAATGATGGAGTCTCTGCTCCACCATTGCTTCATATTATTCAATAACAATGGAAGGATCCTGAGTAAAAGAATTAGATGAATTTTAGAGCTTGTCAAAATTTTTAGCAAGAATTTTCATTGTTTTCTTTTTGAAAGGCTATTTTTCTCCAGAAAATGGCCCGTGAAATTTTTTTTAATAAAGTTGACAGCTTTTCATTAAAAACTTACTCTTTTACAAAACTTTCTACCATATTTATCAATTTTTGTCCATTTTCAAAATCACTGAAGTTTTTCGTTTACTGAAATCTTCATTTTATTACAGAAAACTATTTTCAGTAAAAGAAAATTTGGGTAATGATTCAAAACTTGAAGATATTGATTAAAGTCTTGCAGAAAATTTTGGAGAGGATTAAAGTAGGTCAATTTTGAATGCCGTGAAACAAATAATTTTGAAGTTTCCATTTTTTGCCTGCTTTATGATGAGATCTAATTATTAAGCCTCATTTTTATTTTGTTAAATATAGATTTATGATCAGTGTTGCTCAAATGCATAGTAATTTCCATAATCTAATAGAATGGTATTTACTTATAAATCCTGTGATATTTAATCTGGAAGGATTGCTTATTAATATTCTTTTAATGCAGGTATTTTGTGTGTAGTTTTCTTGGTTTAAAGAAAAATCCAACAACTGAATTCCCCTACCTATGTTTTACACATAGTTTTCCCTAGCCTCTTTCTAAGAAGCAACTGAATATTTTTGGCAGAAGTTTTCAAAGTCAGACTGAAGCAGACATCTTGCATGGAAAACTTCAGCCAAATGGTTAGTTTGACAAAGTTATAAGCTACTGAGAACATGATCTTATAATGGGAAGCATCAAACAACCTTAACAGGTGGCACTACCAGCCCTGCCTATCACATCAGTAGTGCATAGAACACTTAGCACAAGTGAGCAGTTATCACTTTATTCTGGTTAATGCAGCAACCAGTCATATAACTCGTTCAGCAGAAGTGACAGATCTATATGGACCGGAATACCAAAGGAAGTGAAGACTACAAAACAAAAACTGAACATGTTCATTGAGAATTTATTTCAGTACTTCTTCATCCTCCAGAAAACTGAGTTAACTCTAAAAGGAACCAAATCCTAGAAGTGTATAACAACTTGTAAACTGAGAAAAGACAGATTCCAATGTAACATATCTGAAGGTACAACTGGTTGTACACTCAGTTTTCTTTGCTTTAAACGAGCTCCTGGGAACAACTTCTTCCCAAAGTGGGAAACCTATTACCCTTTACGGTAGCTTCAGGAAACCGGTTTACTTGTTTGGCAATCAGAAATGAGTATTTTTGACATTGCCATTTTAAAGTTATGCTGCATGATAGGTTGAGATACTTTATCAATAGAAAGCCCAGGCCTTAAAGCTGAAAGCTCATGAGCTTCACAGCTAAAAACCAAACATACTTAACACATATGATAGATTGTATCTAATTGTGAAAGACAGCATTTTAAAATTAAATGTACTTTCTTTTGGAAATTTTATGGTCCATGGGGAGTGAATATGAAGTCAAATCTCAGACTTAAGTGTTATAAACTGCAGGTCAAAACAGATTACAATTGGAATGTTATGAGATTACTGAAAGTTCTCAGGAAAACAGCACATTAGTTGTATAACACAGTAAAATCCATTAATACCAGCTATACCATTTAAAGATTTAAAATAATAGCCTAAATACATACAAGTAATTTAATACCACTATTACCAGTTCCAAATCACAATGTATTTGTGTGTTCCAATACACAGAAACAAAAAGAGCTTTGGTCATCCACAATATTGCACATCATGGGATATGGGCTCCATTTAATGTGCATCAACGGGAATTCCAAGTGCACAGCGAGACAAAAGCAGATTTGTTTATTTAATCTGGGTGAATTTATGCAAGAACCTTTAAAGCTGCTACAGAAGAAAAAACAGATGCTGGGATCAAAACGTATGTCTTTTAAAGATGCTTTTTCTTTCAGATTATAGGAACATTTGACTATTGGCAATTTTATAAAATATACATATATTGCAAAAATGCAGTACGTAAGAGCAGCAATGAAGAGTTACCTCATCTTTCTTCAACATTTTAGTTCACTGAAATAGTTCTCATGCTCCATTATGTGTAATAATGCATTTGGAGAATGTAAATAACCTAATTAGATTTGCTTGTTTCGAGACGCCAGGCACCAGTCAAATATCTCAGTCGTATAAAAAGAAGATCCCTGCCCATCTGCAACCAGCTCCAAAAGGGAACCAGCTTCGAACCTATGATTAATAAAAGATACAAAAAAATCAGACGGACAATGTTTAAACAAGTGTTCACCTTAAATAAAGTTAGCATCAATAAGAGAGATTTAACCAGAGAACATCTGCATTTAGCCCTTGACTTTAATAAACGTTTCCACTTGAAAAGTTAATGCTTTAAAATTTAAATTATATTTGAAATTATACTGAGAGTGGGACATTCTAGGTCAGAAATAGATAGTGGCTCAACATATGCTATGGTGGCATATGGACACAAACTTACTGCTGGACAATAAATCAAACTTTGTTCAGGCAATTAGACTTAGAAGCTGAACAAAGGTCATTGGAAGAAAGCGTGTGTTTGTTTTTCTTTTCTAAATCACTCAAGACACAATCTTAAGAGCACCAGCACAAACCCACTAATCTCCAAGCAAGTTAAGATATCCAAACAATTTAATTAACCCTTCTTCAGTAGGGCTAGAAATCATGCTAGGTAGAATATGCTCTCTCTGTATCTCATAGCAGAGTTCCCTACAATCTGGAAAGCAACAGGCATTGTAAGAAACCTGAAGCAAAGAGGGTGCCCTAGGGGAGCTTATACCTGACTCCAAAACTCTCACCACTCCCATCACAAGAAGGGGCCGGAGAAAGTAAGAATTGGAAACGGAGCCATCAGGGGAAGCTGGCCAGCCTTATTGCATTCAGGTCTTTTACAACTGGATGGCTGTATGAAGAGAAGGCTCAATGCAACACGTCCTCAAGTTTGGAAAAAAGTGTTTGAGAGGACGATACAAAGGTATTGCTTTCTGGACTGATACTCATGGGGGTGGGAGGTGGGTACGCAATTTACTCACCATCAATTTCAGTCCAGTTGACAGCAACCTCTGCTATTGGTATTTTCAAGCGCTGAGCTATGTAAAGAAGTTCCACATCAAATGCCCTGAAATAGAACAGGAAATAATAAATTCACTGGTATTTATTTTCAGAAAAAAGAACATTGCAGTGTTAATTAAATCTCTGTTCTGTAATTTAAGGCACTTAGTGTGCAGTTATCAAGTTTATACTGATACTCGGAAAGTCAGATTCACATGAAAGATCAATTTGTTATATAGCTGAATGACAGAAGCTAGGTAGGGTACAGATTCCAGTACCTCATTGCACAACACATACATTAAAAGAAAGGATGAAGTGCTCATATCAGCACTCACACTTTCCATTTGATCACAGTTGAGATTTAGATCTTTGTAAAGATTGGGGCAGCAGAGCTTCCTCGCAGCACCGACCTACTTCTCTAGTGCTTTCTCGGATTTCAACTGCACCGGAAGCTCCTCTTCCCTTTCTTGATGCTGCTGTATGCTGATGTGATACACTCTCCTTGTTTTCTTTGAGTAAAAAACCAATGCAGAAGGGAAGTGAGGAAGCAGAGAAATAATGGGAGCTGAGGAACAGCTGGGAGTGCATATAAACAACCAGCATAGAGCCTTTTCTCTCCTCAAGTCTATCATTTTTACTGGCAGGCTCTGCTCAGATGAGATCCACTACTAGAATAGTTGACGTAGCAGAAGTCAGGAGTAGGTGCATTGGCCAAGTTCACACAGCTTCTCATTGCACTACGTCTAGCACTAACGAACATCATAAGACCTACACTTTAAGTATGAAGATTCACTCATTTCTTCACCTCACTTGTACAGCTAAAATTCCTCATCTGCTCAGCATTCTTCAGGCCTGGTTTTCATAACAGCTGAGCATCCACAGCTCTCACTGAGGTCAATGGGATACATGGATGATCGCTATTAGACATCAAGGACGTGATTTTCAGTAAATAGCTATCTACATATAACTTATGCATTGCAAGGGTGACTAGAGATAAATCTAAATCTCTAGTAAGTCAGTATTTCTCTATATTTAGTTGTATATAGTTAAGTACTGAACCTAAAATATTCTGACTTCTTGTTCACCTGTCATTAGGTTTCTCTTTACACTTTAACATTTGTTCTTAGAAAGACAGCCAAGAATAACAGAGTTCTTTTTTGAAACAGTTCATGAATATTAAGTGTCTTATCTGAATTAAGACAATTTTATTTCAGACTTTCATATAGGTCACTCACAAAGTCCCTGTTTCTTGACTATTTTCTAGGCAATGGCTTATTTTAAATGCCAAAAATTTGTTAAAGAATGCAAACACTTATGCTCTAAATCAATTGTTATTGATTTTTAGAGTGATATAAAACATTAGCACTTCCTTTTCAGCAACTGCATTGTCTAACTAATAAAAATATATAGTTACATAAGACATTTGTGCCTTCAACTGTCCAACCAAGATATCCATTATAGTCCTATTTGAAGTACACTCTTGCTTTGATTTAAAAGACAACATATACATTACCATATTTCTTTAAGAAGGCATAGAACCATTGTTAAAGGTTGGGGGGAAGTTAAAAGTTTAAGTAAAGACATTTTTCAAGTTTAAAAGGTTTTCTTGGGGGTGGGAGAGGAAGAGGGTACCTGTTGAAAACTTCAGGAGCTTAGAGGCCATAAGGCAGCTTTAGCTAAAGAGTGCATACCTCGTAACTCTCATATATCATCCAATATGTGAAACTAATGAGAGGTGTTAGCTGCTACTGAGCAGAATGGATTAAAAAAAAAAAAATCATGATTTTATTTTCATGTTGTTAATTCTTTACTTTCTTCCTATTTTATAGCCTTAAATTGCTGAAGTGGGTGTTCTGTACCTGTTTCCTTAATTGGTTTCCTAATTATTAGTAGAATTCCAGATTTTACATGGATTTTTTTTTCTACAAAAAAAGTTTCACACTTAAAATGCTCATCTGTGCTTAAGAAGGAAAGTCCAGGGCCTCTAACATATTTACTGGAAGAATACCACATACACAAATACAAGACTGATAAGTTAATAGTCCCAGCTACATTTGCAACCAACACCACTTTCCTGTATATATTGAACTTCCACAAGTCAAGACAGCTGAAATACTTTACATAACCAGGCTGTACTCCTCCATCACGGTTTGCAGTTTGAAGTCAATGGGATTTGTGCTCCCAAGTCACATACTACCATTAGGTCCTCAAATATGGCTTAACAATTTTGGCCTCTGTGCATAAAGAGTTCACAATAACTAGATGTGACAGAATTCAAATTTTATTTTTTGATAATTTCAGTGGAGAATATCAATGTTTATTTTTAAGCATTTTTTTCAATTTTCATCTATCTAAATTTTACCGTCATGAGAAGTTATGGGAAAAGGCTCAGACAATTATTTAATTACAGTAGAAGTAGCAATTCAAAAAGTTAAAGCTCTTTAACTGTTAAAACACAAATTGTCAACATCACATCAAAATATACGAAGTAAATATTCTTAAATCAAACTCTAAATTCTCAAGTGGCATTTTTCTTGGCCTATTTGTAAATTTAGATGATTATTGATGTAAATTTTTTTTGCGGTGTGTGTGTGTACTGTGGAAATGACATTGATCGACATTTACCAATAACAATCTAATTCCACCAACCCTCTCAATCACTGTTAGAGTATAAATAACTTTCATTGCTAACACTGAAGCAATTTTATTTTGATGAGACAAAGGTTTTATGTCGCTAGGAAGCGTGTAATAAAAATAAATTTTATCCATGATGCTGCAAACGCTCATGCACATGCTTAACTTTAGGTACCAGCAGTCCCAGTGAAGTCAATTTGATTGTTCAGGTAGACAGCTATGTACCAGCTTAAGTGTTAGAAGGATCAGAGCTTTAACTCTGTACACCTCTACCCCAATATAACGCGACCTGATATAACATGAATTCGGATATAACGCGGTAAAGCAGCGCTCCGAGGGGGCGGGGCCTTGCACTCCGGCAGATCAAAACAAGTTCGATATAACGCAGTAAGATTTTTTTGGCTCCCAAGGACAGCGTTATATCAAGGTAGAGGTGTATTTTATATTTTCCCTATAGCAGTTTTGTAAAATGTAAGTAATTTTCAAACCCTTACAGTGCTGACATTCAAAGAAAATAAACAAAACCATTTATAATGTAGTTTGTTATATATTTTAAGTTGAATTTGCCATAGCACAAATTTTGAAATTAGTTTTACAAAACCTCAACTAGATTTTAAAATGTTAAGCAATGCAAATCAATCATTTAAATCACTCCCCACTGCTGCTGATTACCTTTTTATTACAGCCTCTTTGAAAACGAGAGTTTGATTGGGGGAAATTAAAGGGTTTAAGATTTAAAAGAAACTCTTGCTTTTAAATAAAATTCTTAAATACCTGCCTTGCTTCTGCCCCCTTCCCCCTATCTAGGGCAAGATCCTTGCCTCTGCTCTAGACACTTTATGTTACATAAAAGTGTTGGCCAGAGAAGCGTAAAGGGGCCCGTAAGTCCCATATTTGGCATGGGGAGGATTCCCTGGTGCAAGAATTGAAGAATGTAGCCATAAAGCTGTCCTCCCATGATCCCCTTATGTGTCCCTGTGCAGGTGGTGTGCTGGAGGTGGGAGGAGCTGCATCAAAAGACATTGTGGAAATTCCAGGAAGCGCTGCAAGTTAACTCATAGGACAGCATGGGGAGGCTGCTGTAACTTGGAGGGATTGTCTAAATTATGCTGAGGGCCTCTCCAGCCCCCATAACAGCTCAGGATCAGAGGGTGCAAAGATGTCTTAAAGCAGCTGCAGTTTCCACTCCCCTAGACGGCAAACTCTGAATCTTTCCTCTAATCTTTATGGTATTTTGACAGAGGCTGTTGGAAAAAAGTGGTCAGTAGCATGCAAAAGACACAAACTTTTGCAGATTGTCAGCTGAGTTAGAAATGCTGCTTCCCCCATTCTTCTCCAAACCACCCTCCTTTCAGACAAAAACCTACAGGACTTTAGCATAATTAAAAATAATACATTACACTTAGTGAAGCAGCAAGACTATACCTCAAAATAGGTGCTAGTGTAGTAATCCAGATAGATTACATAGATAGAACACACATACAGTCAGATACTGCCAATCACAGTCAAACACAAGTGATCACACATTGGCCTGTTCACTACATCACTAAAATAGTAAATTCAAACTAATGGTTCCCATGGCAACTGTAACTCAGCCACATTGCACATATATATTAAAAAAGAAAAACGATTAACATTACCCTGTACAACAACAAAAAATACAATAGGCGCAGAAGGAGGCAGAGTTAAGTTAGCTAAGGAACCAGGGGTTTTCAATAATCTCAAATCAGGATGACTTTTGAGTGGGAATAGGGCTTATTAGTAGGGTGATCAGACAGCAAGTGTGAAAAATCAGGACAGGGTTATAGGAGCCTATATAAGAAAAAGATCCAAAAATCAGGACATCTGGTCACCCTACCTATTATCTACCACAAAAGCAATTATTGCAGTAAATGCATTTGTCTGAATGTGCTGAATCTGTTCCAAGTGATGTTGCTGTTTAAAAATTGTTTAAAAAAACAAACAAAAAACAAAAAAAACCAGCCACCATCCCACAAACAACTGAGAACTGAACACTGTTTATTAACCCTGCATAATTACTCCAGTTTCTTCTATTGAAATTCTAGATTTGTATTACTTGTCATTTTTGGCTGACATTTTAGATTTGTAAGCAAAGATATATTCATTTGTTATATTCACCTCAAAATAGCTGCAAACGATCTTTTAGGTCTAATAAAGTGGTCTCCAACCTTTTTATGCCCAAGATCACTTTTTCAATTTCAGGGCAACCCAGGATCTACCTCGCCCATTCCCTGAGGCCCCACCCTGCTCACTCCATCCTTCACCCTCCGTCGCTCGCTCTCCCCCACCCTCACTCACTTTCACCAGGCTGGGGCAGGGGGTTGCGGTGCAGGAGGGGATATTGGGTACTGGCTCCAGGAGGGGGCTCAGAGCTGAGGTATGTGTACTGGCTCCTGGAGGGGGATATTTACCTCGGGCGGCTCCCAGCCAATGGCACAGTGGGGCTAAGGCAGGCTCCCTGCCTGTCCTGGCCCCACTTAGGCACACTGGCACCTCCTTCCCATCACGAGCCAGGCCACCCTGCCAGCCAGTAGTGCACCTCTGCGGCCCCTGCAGGAACCACCCCCGTAGGCACCGCCTCCACAGCTCCCATTGGCCACAGCTCCCCGTTCCCAGCCAATGGGAGCTGCGAGGACTGTGCTTGCAGGCAGGACCAGAGCCTGGAAACCCCTGTCTCTTCCCCCCCCCTCCTGGCCCCACAGGGCCGCAGGGACGTGCTGGTTGCTTCCAGGAGTGGTGTGGGGTCGTTGCAGGCAGGGAGGGTGCATTAGTGGCAGGCAGCCCGGCTGCACCTCCGGGGCCAGAGATCACAATCAACTGGGAGAGTCTCCAGGATCGACCCATCAATTGTGATCAACAGGTTGGTGATCACTGCTCTAATATATATAATTCTCATAATACCCATTACATGTATTAACTGACTAGAAATCTTAATAGAGACCGTTCATTTAATTGTCCAATGAATTACACTGCACTAACTGGTCTAAAAATGCTGCTCAGCCTAGGGAACTAATGAACAGAGTTCAATCATCAGCTATACACTATTGTAAGTTTTACCACCTTATAGAAATTGATTAATGCAATGCCAGGACACCACTATCCTGCTGGAGTGACATTAAAAAAAACTACGAGCAAATTTTAGTGACCAGGAAAGTAAAGGACTAACATCCCTGGCAAAAATCAGAGACGGTACTCCCTCCCGCCCCCCCTACATGTGATGATGAACATGTCCTAACCTTGAACCACTCCTCCTCCCCTGTTTAATGCCTAAAGGAAAAGGACTCATGGGTGAGATACTACGGGTGTACATTTCAATGTGTATGCACATCCACTACTAGAGTTAGTGAGGAAATAGATTGCAATGTATTCAATAAGCTGATGATAACCAGTTCTACATCTCGTCAGACCCAGATGGTGCACTGGAACCTAGAGTCTTTCTATAATCGCAATATGAACAAGGGTGAACTAGCTGAGGCTTAATCTGGGAAAGAGCAAAGTGATGCTGGTGGATTTGGAGGTCGTAACATTATTAGTTGGCAAGTGTGATATTTGCACTCAGGTTAAGGGAGTGCACCTGCCATTTGTGACTCAGGTTCATAATCTTGGAGTTTTATGAGAGCCAGGATTGTTTTAGGGAGATCCAGTAGTGCACTTATTTCTAATTGTGTTCTAACACAGGTTAACGAGCATGATCTTAAATTGTAGCATAGACAAAGGAGTAAACATTTGTTCCTGGTTGTATTTAACCCTCAGAATGTGTTCCTTTACCTATGCCACAAGTTAAGATTGTTTTAGTTAACACGTTAGAACACAATTTGAAACAGAGTGTGTGATATTCTGTACCTTGGGGGAGCGCCCTGTAACCCCCAATTCCTCATTTATATATGATTTTGATCTAACATATAAAACATGCTTTGTAAGGTATCAGGGGAAAGGTTATGATCTGCTGCAAGTCATTTCTCTATCCATATATGTAGATCATTAATGCATATGAAGTTATGAAAATTGGGTTCTATGGTTGTCACTAAAACATGCTGTAAATTGGGGAATCAGCCAGATATTAGCTCCCCAGAGGCAACAGCAAGGAAAGTAACCAACATCTGGGCAGGGTATCAATCAACCCATCAACAACCATTGTCCAGCAAGGGAGCTACAATTCAATGACTCACATGCATGAGGCCACACCAGGGGAATTGCTCAACCTTGCCTGGAGACTCAGCAATGTCCCCAGACATGCCTGGACTTGTGCTCCTCAAGCACATCGGACTGAGGTTATAAAACAGACACAGTGACCCACATGGGGGGCCTTTTCTCCTGCCCCCACCTATGCTGCAAACAACAGAGACACTGAGAAGAAGACTGAAGACTCCAACTGAGGAGACTGACCCAGATTTAAGGGACAAATCTGTATATTAAAGACTGCAATATCCAGTGGGGTGAGCAAAACTGCTTAATCTAGTTGCTGCCCAATCTAATAGGGCTGAGAGTTTAGACTGCGTACTTATATTTTATTTCTTTTGGTAACTAACTGACTTTTTGCCTATCACATAAAACCTTTTATAGTAAATACATTTGTTTAAGTGTTTATCTTTACCAGTGAATTTGTATGAAGTGTGTGGCAGATCTGCTCAGGTTTACAAAGGCTGGTGTATATCCACTTTCCACTGATGAAGTGGTGAACCAATTAATAAAGTTGCACTACTCATCTTGAGCAGTACAAGACAGTATATTCCTGGGGTACAGTGCTGGGAGGGATTTGGCTCTGATGCATGAATATATGAATCACACAGAGAAAGGCAATATAGCTGGGTGTGGGGCTTCACATGCTGTTGTGCTGAGTGATAACAGCGCCTGGAGGGGTTTGCTGCTTGTCACTAGCAAGGCATTGTGAGAGACAGCCCAGGCTGGAGAGAGTTCGGGGGCGCAGCAGTCCCACAATCCCAGGCTGCACCCCGGGAATCCAAGCAATCTTATCAATTTCCAAATCAACTGTGCTCAACTTCCAATATGTTTATCCTGCTGGCCCTGCAAACTCACCCTGGGTTCTGAAACTCCAGCTGGGCTTTTTCCTGTTTGTGCATCATCACCAGCAATAAGTGTTCTCCAGGACAAAGTTAGACCCCAACGTGAAAATAGTATTCTATAGTATTGCACATTTTTTTTTAATGGAAGGGGCCCCCAAAATTGCTTTGCCCCAGGCCCCCTGAATCCTCTGGGCGGCCCTGGAATGTAGGCCTTATCTAGACCGGCAAGGGTTTGTCGGTATAGTTATAGTGGCAAGCCTATTTAGTGGAGACATAGATTATACTAGCAAGAGTCCCCCAAATGAAAAGATACCAGCAAAAATTTGCCAGTGTATGCCAACATCTACACAAGGTTGTTTCCCCCCTCCCCTGGTATGGCTATGTTGGTTAGGGATGTGGTTTGTTTTGTTGTTGTTGTTGTTGTTGTTTTTTTAAACTCTCCTAGCCAACAGTTAAGTTTAGGCCAGGCCTTAGTTAACAAATAACTCTGCAGCAAATCCAACTCATTCCCTTACTTGTATTGGCTCTGCAGAACTAAGAGGAGGGACAAACTTGTGTCACTAAAGTGAGCAGATACAGCAAGACTCGGATCTGTGGAATAAGAAGGTGCCATTTTACCAGTAATATCTGAGATAAAAGTGCACACTTAGTGTTTATACTGGAGAAACAAATGAAAGTTAATTATATTTAAAACGTTCACTAGCTCAGCATCATTTTAAAAAGAAACAGTTGGTACCACAACATGAGGCACCCTCTTCAGGCAAAATTATACAAACAAAATGTTTCTTCCCATCAATCAGCTGTGAGTTGCCTAATAAACATAAATTTAACCAGTCATAGAGGTACATAAAGCATCTAACTGTCAATCACTGAGAGGAATAAAAATACACTTGGAATTTCCCTCATTTGACTAGCAAGGATTCATCAAATAACACCTGGCATATTTGACTCCTTCCTGCAGGAAAAGGAATCCAAGATGCAAGGAACTTTTAAGAGATCCCTTTGGGTCAGAAAAGGCCAATATGTCTGACTTAAAATTTACTATCTGCCAGTGTAGCCATCTGATTGGCTAAACTTCCTTCAGTGGTTTATGGTTTTAAAAAAGAAAAACAAAACCAAAAAAAAGTTAATAATCTCTCCGGTTAGGATTGTAGTTGTAGAAATAGAAATATCTTCTCTTTATCTGGAATCTGGAAACAAGTAATTCCCAACTGTCTCCGTTATGCTTTTAACTTAAGCCTTTTAACTTTCTTTTAAGTTTTAATTTAAAAAATGTGCCTCATCTAATTCTGAGAAATAGATTAGTGGTTAATCAGATTCAAAGCCTAAAACATAAAGCATATGCTCTTTGTTTGTAGATTGCTCTCATTTCAGATCAATGTTAAAACTTAGCTGTATTGGAAAAAATTTTCAAAAACATTTGGCTTGTACTGGTATGTATGCAAAAGACTATTCAAAAGGCAGTTCTAAAAATAATCCCAACAAAATCTCTCCCCTTAAATTCTAAATAGGATGCATACATAGTAATTTATAATGCTATAAGACCAATATAATACTCCTTTATATGGCTGTGCATGTCTATAATACCTTTTGTCTCTGGATTTCAAAGCACTTCACAAACATTAATGAAAGGAGTTTAAAAGCACCCCACGCTAGTTTATCTAGGCACTTCTATGGCCCTCATCATGATAGTATCTGAGCACCTAAAGTATTTCAATTCTACCTATGTTTTCCTGTTTATGAGCACCTATACATCAAATTCAGATATAGCAAATAAGAAATTGTACACTCAGACTGCTGAAAGATTTAACATTAAGGAGAAGGAGATACTCTGGTCAATACCTGTGAAACAGAAATAGAAAGGTGGAAGTCGTAAGACACAAAGAGATCCAATCTAAGTAAACATTTGGATCTGATTTTCAGGATCATTTTTTGACATCCCTCCGCTCCGCTCCACCCTCCCCCCCCACCCTCCCATGGTGTGGGATGAGAAAACAGAAATAAAAAGCTCCAAATTAAAAGGTGTTGGTGAAGAAACACTGAAAATACTGTAGCCATTCATATTCGGTGGCTTGCTAGCTACTTAAAAATTAAAGTTTTAAAACCTTACACTCCGTCCAGTCTAGCAGCAGGACATCTACATTGTTTACATTGCCACATTTATTGTTAGTAAAAGATATTTGGCTCAAAACTGAGAGAGAATGTGCTCTCAACACTCGTTCCTTCAGCGAGGTATGTTAACAGGCTGCTGAGAGAGACAAAAATAAAATCTAGCTCTCTCTTGGATAACTGCTTCTCTCTTTTCAGGAGCAGCACTGACAGGGTCCAGTGCTCCAAAAGAAGACGCGGCACTCTCTCCTGCTGCCCTGCTAATTCAGCACTTGCTCTCTGTAGCATGCACAAAAGGCTGCTTCTCCCTTTATCTGAGGGGAGGAATTCCTGGGGCCTTGCCTGCAGCTGGCCTCCTCCATATATGCAAGAAGCTCAGCATGGAGTCACTTTTAACTACAAAACTGGATGTTGGTTCAGTAGTTTCTCCCCCGACTCCACTGCTCTCAGGACTTTCTCAACGGTTCATCTTTTTGTGTTTGATGTGACAGAAATTCAAGTTACAGTTAAAAGGGCACTTTGCACAGTTACAGTTGGGTTGGTACTAACTAAATTAGAAATCTCAAACGTCTAAAGGGTTTATTAAGTATTCAGCTGTGATAGCTCACTGTAGACACCAACTCAGAATACTGGTCGATAATAATGAAGTGAAGACTTCCATTTTAAAAAAAGCTATTAATTTTGAATAGTGTTAAATGCTGAACACTAACTTTTTGGAGTGAAGATTGTTCTGCTTTAAGAAGTTAGCCTTGGGCATGACATATCTCTTGATTTACTGAAGCTCAAATGTGCAACAAAGCTCCAAAAATATTGGACAAAAAATTATTCATGCAAGAAACCTAAAATTATGTTGGTTTCATTCCTTTAGTCCAAGTTACTTTCTAGAACTTTAGTTGTGATTATTTTTGATGTAAAATAATTTTGAACTCTAAGTGAGGAGTGGTAATATTTGTATGATGTGTAGGTGATGTGAGAGGCACAAGAGTGATTGTGCAATGTCAGGACACAGTCCTGCCAGATGCTGTACATCTTCCTCCTGATGTTACTGGGAGTTGGTTTAGTGGGCGGGTGCTGGCCTGTGATATATAGGAAGTTGGACTAGATCTGGTGGTTTTATCCTTAATCTCTGACTTCGACTATGACTTTGCAGGATTAGCCCCTTAATGCTTTTAGAATATTGGGGAGGCGGGGACGGGGGAAAGGTTAAAAAAGGAGGAAAAACTTGAAAGTGTAAAAGATTTATTGTGTACCCGCCATGTACGTTTTTCTAGACAAATCACTACAACACCATTGTTAGTTCAGGTCTTCGACAACAAAATATCTATAAAATATTATTTACCAAAAAGACATGAGATCAATACACTATTTCCTAATTTTTAGCCTACTTAAAGATTCATCTGAAAGGCTAGAACATTCTGCGAAAGAAGGGCAGAGTGGGTATTTTTTAAAATCAATATGCAAAGCTGCAGTTAATGTTCAGGCTGTGACAACCTAAAAGGAAGTTCTAAGTGGAGACTGATGCCAGCTTTAGTTTTATTCTCTCAAAGTGAGAGCTAAGGGCCAAATCCTGGATCCCAGTTACACAGGAGGAAAGGACATATTAGTCTCTTCCCTCCTATGTAACTCAGCTCTACACTGTGCCAAATGATCCTGAATCCAGTCAGCCCAGCAGAGAGGGCAGGGGAGGATTCTGCAGAAGTTGAGTGCTCATATGAAAGGACTCTGCAATTCTCCGGAGCAGCCCTCTTTCCTCTGAGTTGAGCTGATGAAGGGTGGGTAGGGAGGCCAGGATCAGTGTCCTCAGACAGGTGTGCCCTTGAAATAGGCTCTTATTTGTTGGCTTTTCTACAGCACCCCGCTGCCCCTCCTCCCCCCGATCGCTATAGTATTGGAGCACTTTCCTAACTCAAAAGGGTGTCATGAGGATAAATTCATTAATACCAGGGAGGTACTTTCCCCATTTTACTGATGGGGAAATAGGGCACGCAGAAATTAAGTAACTTGGCCACATCTTGCAGGAAACCCATAGCCGAGATGGTAATACAATGCAGATCCCAGAGTCCCTGTGCAGCATCAAAACTATCCTTCCTCTCTGACAGCAGCTTCTCTCCAGTCCCCAGTGGACAATTTCAGAATGAGATCATCAGCCGGGAGTGGTATATGAGTCAATTAAGGATTCCCTGCTGCTCTGAGCCAGAATGAACATACCCCTCCCCCACTTGCAGGGACCTTGTGGAGGCACCATGAATACAAACTGTCTCCCTAATATTGACTAGAGGCCTGTTGGGATGGAATCACTGACTTTGTTGGGCAGCAGCAGGAAGAAGCTGGGTTTCTCCCTGCCCCCCACCTTATCTCCACTCACTCTCAGGAGATGCATACAGCCTCCATGGTACACAGCCAGACTGGCTGCTCAGCTCCAGCCAAGTTACACATGGCAAATGCATCAGGGCCCAGATTTATCCAAAGGGAGTCTCAGTTATTGGATTGTAAGAGCCCCATAGTTTTGTGCAGAAATTGTTTTATTTAATAATTAATGCTGTTTCTAAAGGGTGAATTATGCTTCCAAATAGCTAACTAGGGCAAATCTATTAATAAAACATGCAATGACTGGATGCAAATATACACAGTGAAACTAGAAGAGAAATTAGTTGAAAGCTACATTAGATATCAAAGGAAAAAAAACTAAATTATTCTTGTTTTAGACAAATTTGCCATTTTGGAATATTTGCAAAGAGTCATGGAAAAATATAAGTCACTCTTTTCTCCACGAACACAGCAAGCATTCTTGATAAGGGGTTCCAAGTTTTATAAACATCAGAAAGCCTGAGGGGTATTACTCTGTAAATTACCATAAAGCAAGCTATAGCATAAGGCTAACTTCACAGCGGTACCTTTGACTAAAGCAGGTTAGGACACCAAATTGAAAAAGTCACCAGTTCCTGAAAATGTGGTACCTATTACAGTTACACACATCACCTAAAATCCCTATTAAAGTGAAGTCATATTTCTCTATTTCCTCCCCCCCACCCAGTTTATTCTGCATATTTGACTGTATGTGGTGTATAGTCATTTTCACTTTCTCTCTCATTTCTCTCTTGCTGGAAGAGTCCCTTAAACAGTCAGAGGAGCCGCAAAATCCTCATATGTTTTTAAAAGGAATTTATACTATTTACTACATACTATTTAGAGGACATCAGCAACTGGAGTTATTTGAAACTGATGAATTTCAAACAAAAGAAGATTGATCGTTTCCCCTTTAAGGGCACCTGTATTTTCTTTGAAAAGACCAGACAGCAACTATACTCATTGGTTTCCTCCTGCTTGCAGCACAGCTGTTGTGTCAGCCTCCTGAAGTAATAGATACTCCTTGAAGTTAAAGAGACTGTCAGAAAATAATATATTTTGAGGGAGTACACTTTAGGGCTGTGCTTATCATGGACATTTCTTTAACATTAATGCAAAGGAACTAATAGAAATAGGTCTATAAAATTTAATTACTTTTTTTTCCCCTTAGGAACAGATGAGTAGTCTTATGCTCTAAGATTATGGGTTCTATTCTTGGCTTTGCTACAGTCTTCCTTTGTGACCTTGGACAAATCACTCGCCTAGAAACTGATTTTCAGAGGTACTGAGCACCACAATTCCAATTTAAGTCAATAGCAGTTGTGGGAGCTCTGCACCTCTAAAAATTGGGTCCTTAAGTTCTGTACTTTCATATCCTCATCTTTAAGAGATGAGGAGATCTCATAGCTTGCAATAGGCTTTAAAGTTCTTGTAGCGTGTATTTCCCCTCTAACTCAATACCAGATTTTTCACATCCCTGAAGTGCCCGCCCCCAGACATTTTTGCATCTCCATCCTAGAAACAACATGGCTTGGCCACAACTGCTGAAGTTCAACCTAAAACTAAACTTACTGGCTTTGATTAGGTTAGCACAATTGGACAAAAGTTCTCAGCATGTGCATGGATGCTGTACTCTATTCTTGTGAGCAGGTAGGTTAATGAGACAAACAAATTCTTTCTACGAGAGGTTTTCCTAGATGAAGACAGTTTGAAAAGATTAGATTATACTCAATTAAACTTGGGCCTGTCAGCCATGATAGTGTCCATTTAGCAAGAGAGGTGGTGCAAAAAGTCTACAGAAACTATGACACTTAATGCGGAAACAGCATTTCAGTTTCATAGGCATGTCTAAACTGCAATAAAATACTTGCAGCTGGTCCACGTCAGCTGACTCAGGCTTGCAGGGCTCAGGCTGCGGGGCTATAAAATTGCAGTGTAGATGTTTGGGCTTGGGCAGGAGCCTGGGCTCTGGGACCCTCCACAGTCACATGACCTCAGGGCTCGGGCGCCAACTGCAGTTTTCTAGCCCCACAGCCCAAGCTCTGCGAGCCTCAGCCAGCTAACATAGGCCAGTCGTGGGTGTTTTATCGCAGTGTAGACATACCCATCGCAGCTGTGACACATGAAGGGGGGTGAGCGGGGAGTAGCTCCCTTTGATGGACACCCAGCCAGCCAGCTGTAAAATCCTTCTTGGTCTGTTCTCTGCTTGTTAACCTTTTACAGGTAAAGCAAGCAGATTACAGACCACGAGGGATTTTACAGCTAACTGGCTGTCCATCAAAGGGGGCTCCTCCTCCTACCCTCCCCCCCCCCTTCCCGGCCCCATGTATCACAGTAGCTGTCCTCACCATGCTACTCTAATAATGGACCATCACCCTCTCTAATGCTAAGTTACAATGAAAGGCAGCTCTAAAACAATTCAAATTGTATTCATGGTTTTTACTGCCCTTCTTCCAGACTAACAAGAGCCAACTTACTGCCCACTTTTATGAAACAGAACATATTAGACTTCCTTTAATGACACTTGTTGGTGTACTTTTAAGGTACTCATAAGGTAATGATTTGAGGGAGGGTTGGTTGGTTGGTTGAGGAGTAATGAGTTGTAAAATTGTACTAGAGAGCAACACAGGCTGATGAAGTTTCTAACTATCAGATATCTCTTATCATATCACATGCCAGAGTAAGGATAGACTGCAGGGTTCCAGACATCACCATTCACTGGGAGTCTCATCAGTGTAGCCCAAGAGCCTTCTTGTATCTTTATCGCAGACACTCCATTTAAATATTAAAACTTAGCTAACACATCTCTCCCCGCTTGCATACTGTATGCCTCTTAATTATTGAGGAAGAGAAATTCTGCGTAACTGCATTATTTAACCGATTTGGGGTATAATTTACATGAAAGATGCTAAAATAAATAAAATTGTGTTTTCTACATGCTTTTTGGACACAAGACGATCAATCTGTAAGCACCTAGAGGATAATAAAGTTATAAGGTATTGCCAGCATGGATTTGTCAACAACAAATCATGCCAAAACAACCTAATTTCCTTCTTTGTCAGGGTTACTGGCGTAGTGGAGCGAGGGAAGCAGTGGCTCTTAATTTCAGTAAGGGGTTTGACACAGTCCTCCATGACATTCTCATAAGCAAACCAGGGAAATGTGGTCTAAATGAAATTATTAAAAGGTGGGGCACAACTGGCTGAAAGACTGTGCTCAGAGTAGTTATCAATGGTTTGCTGTTAGACTGGAAAGGGGTATCTACTGGAGTCCCATAGGAATCAGTCCAGGGTCAAATATTATTCAAAACTTTTATTAATAACTTGAGAGTATGTTTATAAAATATGCAGATGACACTAAGCTGGGAGGGGTTGTAAGCACTTACAAGTACAGGACTAGACATCAAAATTGGAGAATTGGTTTGAAATCCACAGGATAAAATTGAATAAAGACGAGTGCAAAGCACTAGACTTAGGAAGGAAAAATTAAAAACACAACCACAAAATGGGGAATACACTGAGCAGGGTGTAGTACTGCTGAAAAGGATATGGGGGTTATTGTGGATCACAGATTGAATATGAGTCAATGTGATGCAGTTGGAAAAAAGGCTAATGTCATTCTGGAGAGTATTAATAGGAGTAACATATGTAAGACACAGGAGAGAATTGTCCCACTCTACTCTGTGCTGGTGAAGCCTCAGCTGGAGTAGCGTGTCCAATTCTGGGTGCCACACTTTAGGAAAGATGTGGACAAATTGGTGAGAGTTCAGAGACCAACAAAACTGATAAAAGGTTTAGAAAACCTGACCTGTGAGAAAAAACTGGGCATGTTTAATTTTGAGAAAAAGAGACTCAGGCGGGACCTGATAACAGTCCTCAAATATGTTGAGGACTGTTATAAAGAGGACTGTGGTCAGTTGTTCTCCATGTCCCCTGAAGGTAGGACAAGAAGTAATGGGCTTAATCTGAAGCAAGGGAGAGTTAGAAAAAAAATTCCAAATACCTAACCTAATCTAATCTAACTATTATAGGGGTAGTTAAGCTTTGGAATAGGCTTCCAAGGGAGGTTGTGGAATCCCCATCACTGGAGGTTTTTGCGAACTGGTTAGAGGATGGTCCAGATTTACTTGATCCTGCCTCAGCACATGGGCTGTACTTGATTTCTTGAAATCTCTTCCAGTGCTACATTTCTAAGAAGGGTAATGGAGTTAACAGAAATACATCCAAATATCCAACTATATCTAATAATGTAGTTCTTAATATAAAATTAATTGCTTTGCAAACATGTAATCGTTTAAAACAATAAGAAATGTGAAGTGCAATACAAAAAACAAGTACTAGAACTGATTAAAACTGATTGAGCAGCTGTTTTTATATACGCACAAATTGTTTATTGCAGTTTCCATGTGGGAGTTACATTTTCACAACTTCAATCAACTGCTATAAACATTAAAAATAGAAAAATTAATTTAAGCTAAACGAACTTACCAGCGTTCTATATGAAGAGCTGAGAAAGTCCGTGAGGCCGCTTCTCTGGTTAACAGTTTAAACCCACATTGTGTGTCCCTGATTTCCTTGACACAGAGGAACCATACTAGGAAGTGGAACCCATACATGAGAAGAGTTCGGAAGTAAGATCGCTGTGAACAAAAGACAAGAAATTAGATGTTTTCATTTATATGACAAAAGGAACATCTGAATTGATCTGAACAGAGGACGAGAATTCCACTTCATGACAATTTTGAAGTTAGAAATGTGTGTTTGTTCCGCTCTGGAACAAAAGGGGAATTGTGGTGGGGGAAAGGTGTGTCAGACAGTCACACTTAGGATCTCCCCTGGGATTTGGGAGACTCAGCTCGAAGTCCATGCTTTGCCTGATTCAGAACAGTTTTTCATCCCAGATCGTGCCAAATCAGGCAGAGCAAGGACTTGAATCTGGGTGTCCCAAATCCCAGGCCAACACCCTAAACACCCATCTGTAGGGTCTCCCTCCTCCGCCACCCCCAAAACAAAAGTTTTGTGGAAACTGATGTCTCTATAAAATGTTTTGGCTTTTATGAAACACCATATTTTGCTGAAATTTCATTTAGGCAAAAATATTTCAGCCAGCTCTAAATTTGAATCATTTTAGCTACACATGAAACTTTACAATAATGGTGTATGTTACAGTACAGAAGGGGATCCTTATTGCAACTATGTATTTTAAAGTTTTGTTTCTATGACTCAAATTTAAACAAATACACATACAGAACTTGGTATAGATCACAGAGACATATTAGGACATAATCATCACAGTATGATTTTTGTTTTGAACAAACAAACAAACACTTTTAAAATTGGTTTTTGGAAGCCTAGATTTTAAAAATTTAAACAAGTTTACTTAAGGTGTAAAAAGATCCCAACCACTATTTTAATATGTAAATTAAAGGTAGCTTTATGTCAGGCCTTAAAAGAACAACAACCCTCCACCCACACCCCACCACCACCTAAACAGTATCCTTTTATTTGCTCATTGCTCGATTTCTTTTATTCTATCTCAGTTCTTCTCCCCTATCTCCCGGGCAGAAACCTTGTGAGGAAAGAGGGAGCTGGATGCACTTGAAGGGAGTTCATTTGTACATGATCCCTCAGCAGGTTATCACATGACCACAGAATCAGAGAGCCCCTCCACCCTCTATGTCAGCAGCCCCCAAATTTTTCACATCACCCCTCCCCGCCCTTGCCCTGTCTGTGCCCCCAGTCCCCCAAGAGCCAGGGCTGGGAGCAAGGCCTTGGCTCCCGGGGGGTGGGGCACAGCTAGGGGTAAGGAGGTTGATGCTGGGGCCACAGCTGCGGCCAGGGACCGATGCTGGGGGGCTGGGGCCAGGCTAGGAGTGGAGCTGCAGCAGGAGTCAGCAGTTGGGGCCACGGCCGGGTGCAGTGCTGCGGCTGGGGGCAGGGCAGAGCTAGGGGCAGAGTGGGTCTGGGTAGCATTCTATCCCTGCCCCCGGTGGGGGCTCGCTCAGGCCCCACTGTGCCCTTCCCCAGGAACATTCTTCCACACCCCCTAGGGGGGTGTGCCCCACAGTTCTACATTCATCAGGCCCAACCATCCCCAGGATTAGTTGGTCTGGTGCAAAGCCAGCATACGTAGACAGTAATAGTTTTCTGTACCCATTCATGTTGTGAACACAGGGTCCAGGATTTAGTCCCATTACTGAGAGAGCTTCAGGGTTTCTTGTCAACTATGATGCAAACTTTGCCCGTGCATTGATAGGAGACTAGGTCCCTAACACTATTACATAATCCAGAGGGAAATGCAGTGCTTACTTTGTGCCAGGGCACCTCTAGGCTTGGCAGTTCATAGCCCTGGCACCTTTGGGCTTGCTGCATGAGTTAGGAATGTAAAAAAAATAGCTTGGGCCCCGGCACCTAATTGCTTGAGCCCCAGCAGCTCTTTCATTACAAATTAAGCACTGGGGAAAGTAGAAGCTATACCAGGATTTGAACTCCATTCTCTCTCCTCTTGGACTTTTGCAGCTATTTCAGTATTTTGTAAACATTTTAGAATGATTTTAAGTATCACACGCTAGTGTAAACATAGCTTGTTGTAGAGAAAATCCAGCATTATGAGTTCATGGAACGATGTTAGAGAAATTAGTCCAGCAATGTGTTTGTTGCAATATAAGTGCAATGTCTGTGCTATGTCAACTACAGTCTGCCAAAACATCAGTAAAACTGATGTAAGACAAGATTGCGCGCTGATGCAAGTTTGTTGCATAACAGTCACATACTAAGTTGTTCTGTCTAGTGTGTATTCAATACTCTATTCTACTGCCGCTTTCCTGTTCATATTGAAATTCTACTTTCATACGGGTTACCGATATTTCCACAAAACAAACCTTGTAGTCTTCTCTCAAGAATCTTTTCAGAGGCTCTTTGCCTGGAACTCATTCAAGACTAAACACAATGCTCATTTCCTCTGTATGCATACTCCACCAGAAGAAGCAAGATTCACTTGTCGTCATTTGTAGTAATTTTGGAACCGTGCAAGCATGAGACCCGTGAGGCAGTCTTGGCCTCTCCAATTTTAATCCGAGAGTCTTCCATGGCAGAGCTGTAGCAAGGAGCTTTAGGAAGGCACTTGCATTGCAAATGATTCTCAATTAAAGGCAGGGAAAGAAATGCAAGTTTTCCAAATTAGCTACATTTGCGGAAGTTCTGAAGTCCAAATCTACATTTGCTAGGGCAAGTCTGGGTGGCGGGTGAGGTCTTCCCCTTCAATCATTAACATGAAATTAATTTTCGTAATGCTGATTGCAAGAGAATTGTGATACCCTTTCAAACATTTTATTACTACTTACAACAAAACTTTTACCACTCACTCAGGTCTTAAGAGTTGAAGACTAACAAATTGTTGGACTGAAAGGAAAGAAATTAAAGTCAAGCTGTCAGTTGCTTCTCCCTGTCATCCCAGTACTTGAAGAGCCTGTGCATGTGTGTGAAGAGACTGTTCCAACTATGAGCTGCAGAGCCATTGTAGAACCACAGGGCTTCCAAAGCATCTGCTTGAATGTACTGTGGCTAAAGCTCTCCACTCAGTGATTATAGTATATGCCCTTTTTGGTTTCATGTTGGACACATTTGTGCACACATGCGGTCGGTTGCGGTCGGGACCAAAGGTCCCATCCTCTGCTGGAGCAGCTGATTTAAATCCTTGTTAGCTGAAATCTAGCTCTCACTTCCTGCTGGTGGTGTTTGAACTCTGGGAACAGAGAGCTTTTAGTCATGTTGGACTATTGCTAGGCTCATGGCAACTGCCTTCCCCACTATCAGCCTCCATTCATTTTGTGTGTCTTGATTTAATTTAAAAACTGTTAATGAAAAAACAGCAGTTCTAGGAGTCTACTTCATATAAGGAAAGAGAAACTTACCTGTGCTATTGAGTCCTGTTCCAAATGGGCTCGAGAGCCACAGGCAATAGCCATCTGGTTCTGCAAAGGAACACACACAAGAGAATTGGAAGCTAACTACACCACCACTAGTGTTTTCAGAATCACTGGCTTCTTCTATTAAGGTTTTTATATGAAATCTTAAAGCATCATGATGGCTTAATCTTGTCCACTGAATTTGTCAAAGCAATAAAAACGTCTGCTTTTGGCGAGTTACACAAATCTTATCGTTTGAATACAGTGCAGACAACAAAGTATCTAGTTACACTTAATATGTATGGGCATGTTTGCCCTAAGATTTGCAATAGGGAACAGGTAACAGAACAGAAGACTTGATTTTTGCTGAGATGGCACTATTTTATTTGTGTAGGAATGTCACATCTCTAAGCCCCAATTAAACTGTAAGAGGCACTTCCAATGGCCTGTATTAAAATTACTCTCACATTACTACTTTTGACATGAAAGAATCATTTCTGGACTTTAGGAAAATTCTGAAGAACTAAGGCCTGCTGCCTTTTCAATAGCACAGAGATTTAAAAGATATGTTAATCGATTAGCGCCATCTAGTGGGGTCAGAACTTTATCGGTTTGACCAAATGGTTATTCTAAACATAATTCAGTGACTGCTTTGTAACAACAACTGGGGGGTACAAATGGGGGAGGAAAAAAGCTAAGTTACATATTGCTCCCTCCATTTTGGGGCTAGTTACAGGTTCCACATCGACTTGTCTTTAAGCACCATGTTAACTGAAAATGAGTTTCTTCAAGTCAAGCAGCACTAAGTGCCACTGTTACCCTATTCAGGAATACACTGTGAGCCGATATGACTTATTTGGTCTTCAGAGAGGACACAATCTGAATGAACGGATATCTGCAAATTAAAAGTTAGCCATCTGCTAACAGGAAATAGACCAATTAGAATAAAATAAAAAGAGTCATTCTCAAAATAATGTGGGAGGAAATTAGGTTAAGCAACATATCAAATTAATAAGGGTAGAGAAAGCAAATTTTTAAATAAGTAGGCAGCACAGTGAGCAGTTATACTGGAAAGAAAAAAGGGCTAGCAACGCAAAACACATGGATCCCACAAAAGTTTAAAGACTCAATGAAAGAGATAGCACAAGTGTCAAAAATGTGCAAATTAAGGTTCCTGATCCTGCAAAAAAATATGCACATGCTTAACTTGATGCACTATAAGTAGTCCCACTGTTACCCGGGGTTCTTTCAACCCAAAGCTCTTGGTAACTTTTACTCTGTGCGAGGAGGTGTCAGGAAATAAATCAGAGGAGACACGGCCATCTGACCGATAGATGGCTGGCACAAACAGGACAACACAAGAGTGCTTTCACTTAAAGCTAAACTTTACTTAGACTCAAGCATTTACACATGTCCACAACAAGATTAGTAAAACACCCCCAACCCTTGATAATTACCAAAGCTGAATGTGGCCCTTGAGTGGCACAGTGACAGCCCGTCTGCCGGTGGGGAACACAAGATGCATCCAGAGGGAGAGACCAGTCCCGAAGAGTCCCCAAATGAGTCCCCTTATTTATACATTAGTAATAGAATGACACGTCCCTTAAAGAAACCTTGTTAAGTAAGCAGTTTCAAGCAAGAGGTTCCTTCTGATTATTGATTAACCAGGTGTGCGTTTTTCCAGAACTTGCAGCCTTGAGACCTCAATAGACATTCCTGGGGCATAGCCTACTCTTTTAAAACACATGTATCAGCAACTTCAACACAATTCTCATCAGGAAGGATGCGGGGTCAAGCTGCCCTTTCCGTGGCACCCAAAAACCCCTCCCCTCCTGCCTTGGTCAAGCTGCATGGCCATTTTACAGCCTGCTGACTAGGTTGCTTTTTAACAATAAGCCATAGTGGTTTTAGGCACTTTACTGGTTTGCCAAAGTCTCCCCGTACACCACTGATGTCAAGTTAAAGTTAAGCCTATCTTAAAGATTCTCAGTATGTATGCAAGAAACTTGTTAATAAAGAGAAATACAACTATGAGTCCATAGACAAAGTGCTTCAGCTAAAATGACAGAAGCTTATACTTACTGGCCATGGCTGGAGATTTCTAAGACCCTCTTCTACTTTTTCAATATCTGCAAACTTTGTGGCTCCATCTGCATCAGCCATAAGGATTTTTCCCCCTCGACAGCTGAAGACACCCTGCAGATGAAACAGCAAGTTAAAACCTGCACCAATACAAATACATTTTCATCATGATAAACTAGCTTCCAGGCCCCAGGAGTCTAAATTAAGAAAGCAAATCCCTAAAACGTTAACCTAAATAGAAATCTAGAAAGGAATTAAACTAAACGAACAGGTGAGCCTGCAATTTCCTATGTTGACATTTTGTTGATAAAAAACAAGTGTTCGAGGTTATTAATTTGTATTACAGCAGCGCCCAGGTGCCTGAATCACTGATCAGGGCGCCATTGTGTTAGACACCGTACAAATAACAAATGACAGTCCCTGACTAACAGAGCTTACAATCCAAGTATGTAAGACAAGAGACAAGTGGATACAATAAATAGATGGGGGAAGCAGAAGGAAACAAGGAGGCATGATAAACAGCTGTCAAAGCACACCAGCTGCCTAATCACTGTACAGTTTTTCCTCGTCACTTGATCCATGTTCCTTGGACAAAGCATGCAGCATTGGGATAGGGTGTGGGATGCTACCTCCTAATACATCTTCAAGAGTCAAATCTCTAAAATGTGTCTGAGAAAGATAAAGTACAACATAACTGCAGTTAGCTTGGGGCAACAACTGCAGCAGACCTGGAGCTTGGCTCCATATAGTCTAGGTGCTACATGACACGTGCAGATGCACAAGGGCATTTGTGCTTGTTGCCACCATACATGCTTAACTCTGTACCAAGTATGTTGCAGGCTCTTGAAGATACATCCAGAATATACCCTAACTGTCCTACCCAAGATGTTGTATGCTCTAACTCAGAAACAAACATGGAATCTTCCATTTCAAGTAAAATTAAACAGAGGGTCTAAGTGTTTTTTTTTTAAATATAAGAGCAGAGATTTCCTGGATTTACTGACCTAATTAATTTCTAAGAGTCTCAAACCATCAGCTATGTACTAAAACCAATTAAAAACACTGCTGCAGTTCTATCATCTATGCAAAGTGTAAACCATAATCATCTTTTTTCCTCAATGTTGATGGAAAGTACAATGTTGATGGGGGTATATTCTCTGGTGGTCATGCACCGTTTACACTCTTCCTGCCTGCTACATACAGCAGTACAAACACACCTCACATATGCACTACACAAAGAATAAACTCTTTCTCTTAAGCAAGTGGGCGGAGGCACTAGTGAATGAGAACATTCCATGCACTTCAATATTAAAATATCCCACACAAAGTCATGCTCCTTCACCTGGAAGAATTGAGGGAGGGAAAAAAAACAAAAAACAAAAAACCCCCAAAGAACTTCTGAGCTTTATCATTCCATGTACTACCTAAATACTATAATCATAGGCACCATGGATTTATATATCATAATGCCTTTATATAAATCCATGGTATGCCCACATCTTGAATATTGCATGCAGATCTGGTCACCCCTTCTCAAATAAGATATATTAGAATTGGAAAAGGTACAGAGAAAGGCAACAAAAAAGGATTAGGAGTATGGAAACAGCTTCCGTATGAGGAGAGATGAAAAAGACTAGAACTTTTCAGCTTGGAAAACAGATGAGTAGGAGGGGATATGACAGAGGTCTATAAAATCTTGACTGGTGTGGAGCAATGGTTCTCAACCTTTCCAGATTACTGTAACCCTTTCAGGAGCCCCTTCCACCACTTGCCCAGGGCTGAAGCATGTAACTTAGCTTTATGGGGTCCCCTGTGGCGTGGGACCCCAGGCAATTGCCCTGCTTGCCACTCCATAATGCCTGCCCTATACTTGTGATCCGCCCTTCTACCTCCCCCCCACAGTTGAGAAACAGACCTAGATAAGTTGACATACCCCTGGAAGATCTCTGCATACCCCTCCCTGGTTGAAAATCACTGGTATGAAGAAAGTGAATAAGAAAATGTTGTTTACCCCTTCACATAAACACAAGAACTAGGGGTCACCCAATGAAATTAATAGGCAGCAGTTATAAAACAAACAAAAGGAAGTACTTCTGCACACAACACAGTCAACCTGTGGAACTTGTTCCTAGAGGATGTTGTGAAGGCTAAACCTATAACAGGGTTAAAAAAAACAAAACAAAAAACAAAAAAAAACAAAACACCTAAGTTCATGGAGGATAAGTACATCAATGGTTATTAGCCAGGATGATCAGGGATGCAACCCCGTGCTCTGAGTGTCCCTAGCCTCTAACTGCCAGAAGCTGGGAGTCGATGACAGGGGGTGGATCTCTCGATGATTGCCTGTTCTGTTCATTGCCTCTGAAGCACCTGGCATTGGCCACTGTCAGAAGACAGGATACTGGGCTAGATGGACCTTTGGTCTGACCCAGTATGGCCATTCTTACGTTCACCATATAAAAACCTTAGGATAGACAGACAAGTTATAGATGTAGCTTTAATACGATAATATTTGAAAAAAATAAATGCATGAAGATAGATTCCAGAAATAATAAATGAAGTGTATTGACAACATGAGAGAAAAGTTTAATTTTTACTCTTGACAGTCACCTATTATCCAAATTTATGGCTCACAACCCAAGACTGATGCAGTCCTTTTAAGTAAAAAAATAAAGTATCATTCACTCACTCTAAACACTTACATAAATCACACACACAAATATATTTTCTCTTGTGAAGAGAAATATCTATTTGTAAGTTAATATATGAAACACACACATTATGCCCCATCAAAATCAAGCCCAGCTGACTTCAGTGGGAATACACACATTTAAGCAAAACTTTGCTGGACCTGGGCCTTCGTTCTTTATTCAATTTCTAAATATCAGAGCTATAATCTGAAGAGGAATATCTATATTTACTTATCTTATTACCGGAGCTTGATTTTCATCTTATAACGGTTTTTTGTTTTTGTTTTTTTTGCACTGACGATGCAAATTCTAAATTAACTAATGGATGTAGTTTGACTTTAATTTAAATTCTCATATGAAAAAAATTCTTCAATGTTATTACTCAATGTGTTATCAATTCCTTGCAATGAGTTTATATTTTGTACATTTTTGCATTGACGATTTATGGAAGAATTCAATATTTTTCAAAATGGTTGTATTAATCTAAAATCTTTAAATTAAATTAAATCCACAGAAGGTCTGCTTATTTTGGCAAGACTAGAATTAGTTCAAAATAGAGAAAGAATTGAAAGTATTCATTACCATTCTGACAGCTCCACCTTTTCCCCGATTTTTTACCAATGTTAGGACTCGTACTTTGTCACTTCCATATTTCTTGCAGTACTTCATTGCAACCTGTAAGACATAGGAAAGTCATAAAACAAAACTGGAACCTCAAGTGAAAGATAGAGATCTTATTCTTCCATCCCTTTTTCTTCAATAGCATTGTTCAGGGCTGGCTCTAGGATTTTTGCCGCCCAAAGCAAAAAGAATTTTGGCCGCCCCTCCTTCCCCCCGTTCTTTAATTACCCCACGCCCCGCCTCAACTCCGCCCCTTCCCCAAATCCCCAGCCCTGCCTCCTCCCCCCAGGCTCTCAAGCCTAGGAGGGAGGGTGGGGGAGCAGCGGTGCGCGAAACGGCCGCTCGGAGTCTCCCCCTCCCTCCCAGGTTTGAGAGCCTGGGAGGGAGGGCGAGTAGCGATGCACGAATCAGCTGTTTCGCGCGCTGTGGCAGCAGCAGCGGAGGCGAGCTAGGGCGGCCGGGGCACATTTTTAGGGGCGGCATTCTGGCGCCGGCCATGCCGCCCCTAAAAATGTGCCGCCCCAAGCACTAGCTTGTTTTGCTGGTGCCTAGAGCCGGCCCTGGCATTGTTACCACTTCAATCTGCATAAATTGGAAATATATTGTCCAGTGCAGAGTTGAAGTCTGTTTAGGAAAATAAAAAAAGAGTAAGAAGGTTAACAGCCAGAAAACTCAAGAAACAAGACGACTAAAATCAGGTAGTGGTCAGAGAGGATAGCTATAGCTGTTCTAAGTCCCCTTCACCCCACCTGCCAAAGTTAAAGCTAGAAAACCATATCACACGTATTTATACCAGTGCACAAAGCTAGTCTATGAAAAACATGCTTTCACTACTGTTACCTGTCTCCCATTTGTTTCACTGCTATGTCTGCTTTTAAATTAAAATTAAGTGCTTTGAGACATGAATTGCTCTTATATAGTGCTTTTCATCATATTTTTCTTCTAGCATAATGGGGCCCTAAGAGACTACAGTGTCACAAATATTTAATAAAGTTGAGCATCAGCTTAAAGCAATTTCAGCGTTCGAGTAGTCAGGCATGAAAGTGCAGAACACCTATGTCTTATAAGGCTAGACATGTTCATCACTGTACAAGACAGACAATGGCTACTACTTTGAGGGCTTTTCAATCTTTATACGATATTACATAAGAGATAATATGATTCATCCATCATTGACACTGGCAGTAGTAAACAGGTTAGTAAGCTACTGAACACATATGCATGAAAGGACACATAACCTTATCAGGCAAGCTTGAAAGGAAAAACTGAAACAGAAGTAGGCATGCTTGTGGCTAACCTAGACATTAATCTAGGGTGGTATTTTCAGAAGTTGCTCAGAGCTGGCCTGACTCTGCTCCCACTGAAGTCAATGGTAAGACTCTCATTAACTTCAACAGAAGCAGAAGTACAGAACGCTGTTGAAAATCTTACCCTTAATACTTCAGTATTAATGTTCCTAAATGAATACACAACTTTATGCTGTATAACAAATTCTATACAAACTATGCCAAAATACTTTACAGAATAATAAAATGGCATTTAAAATTGTGGGAGATTAAGAGGCTTAGATGGGAAAGAATTATGGTCTCAGATGAGATCTGGAAAGAGAAGGGGAGATTTGAAGAAGCAGACACATAGTGATGCTGTTTCAGGTAAGAGAAATCACACAGGACAATGCTCTTGAGGTGAGACTGTGTGGAAAGGAGACACACTGGATGAACAGAGGGGACTGTGGAGGGAAATTCAGCAAGTTACTATATCTCTTCAAAAGAGAACAATTGTGCTATAGGAAGGTTATCCTATGAATGGCATGGACAAGAATGGCAGAAGGAATCTGAGAAATAAACAATTAAAAAACAATGAGCAGCAGATGGGTAGAACAAAAGGTAAAGGTTTGTTATGTTTTATGAAAGGTAAAGCAGTGATATACACATCTGCTCCCCTAGACTGCCAGCTGAGAAACTTTAATATTCTCTTCTTACCTTTGCGGTCTGATCTTTACTGCCATCATCAACAACTATTACTTCATAAGTGAACGCAGGATCTCGTTTCTTAAAAATAAAAATGGAAATTGTGCATTTGGTCCAATCTCTGTCTCTTTCACACATACACATCTCCCTTCACCCCCTTACTCAAATTGGCAAAATTTCAGCCACCAGAATGTTTTTTTGCCCCAGAGCCTTCTTCCTCATTCATGTCATAATATACATTTGTACAGATGCACCAATATCATTTTGTAAATTTGCTATGATGATAAACATCCTTAAAGCAATATCAGTCTGTTACCAATATGCTATTCTAATGCTGCCAGATTACATGCTAACTGCTCCATCATAAGTAGTCTTATTTATTTTTAAGCTGCTATAAAATGTTGAAAATCAATATTGTTATGAAGTGAACTTGGAGGCTCTGAGAAGCCCTTACGTTAAAGATCAGAAAGAGTTCAAACTATGCCATATTTTCTGAAACTTGCTGCCTCATAAGCAGGTGATCAACTGTAACAGTGTTAGAAAAGCAGGATTTTAAAAACCTCGTGGGAATAGATAGTCTAAATTATATCATCAGCTAACTTTTACTCTCCTAGATCATAGAATAGAATCATAGAATATTAGGGTTGGAAGGGACCTCAGGAGGTCATCTGTCCAACCCCCTGCTCAAAGTAGGACCAATCCCCAGACAGATTTTTGCCCCGATCCCTAAATGGCCCCCTCAAGGATTGAACTCACAACCCTGGGTTTAGCAAGCCAATGCTCAAACCACTGAGCTATCCCTCACCCGTGTTTATCCTGGATAGGTATCATGTGGGTACAAGTCTCTTCCAAGTGGAACACTTAATTTTTATATTTCAGTAAAAATTGCCTTCCATCATACAGTCTGAAAAAGAACTCATGAAGAGATGTTGCCAGGTTAGAGTGCTTATCTTTTATTTGGATAATTTTATATTGCTTCTAGACAGATCACAGAAATCCAAACAGGCAGTTTGTTTTCATATACTTACAAGGATACTATATTTTAAATGAGAAAATGAAAGTTTCACACCTGTCTTTTTTCAAGATAGTCTAAAGCTTCATCCATCATAAGAGGCACTGGAAGGAAAAAAAATACCACAAAAGCTGGTTTAAACAAAGCATCAATAAAGGCATCTTTAAAATATTTTCACATCCCAAAGAAGTCAGGTCTCCAGATAAAAAATACCATTGACTTGAAAATATGGAAACAAAAAACAAAATTACAGTTATAAATTTAATCCCATCTGGATTAAAAGTTAGGTTAACTGTATTTTACTCCCAGCTCTGCCACCAAAATCATTATGCAGTCTCTAGCATTATGTAATTCTGTATGCCCGTTTCCCTCTTCCCAGATAGTAAATTATTTTTACAGGCTCTGATGCTACAAAGACTTGTGCACTTTGGAGTTACTGGGGCTACTCACAGTGTGTAATGTTAAACTCATGTTAAGTCTTCAAAGAACTGGAGCCGTGTATTGTAAAGTCTTTTGGGAGGAAAGACCATTTCTTCATGAGTTTTTACAGAGCCTACCACTATGGGGCCTGACAGGAGCCTCTGGGTGCTACTGTTAATATAAAGACTTGACTTCTACGAGTGAAAACCACACGTATTATAGGATTTAAATTCTGGTTTGTACTTAACACTGGGGGTAATTTTTAATTATTAATAAAATGGCTACATTAAATTACAGGCACAAAATAACTATGCAAAGAAATATGATTAGAAAAAGCAAATTAGCCGAGGCACTAGGCTGAGCACTAAATATTACCAGCATGAGCCAGCTAACAGCAACTGGGTAGATAGGTAGAGCAAATTGCCTTAGCAAAAAAGTGTTGATTTCTGCAAACAGGGTGACCATCTGTGACTCCAACCCCTGCCCTTTCTGGATAGAGAAAGAGTACAGAACATCTGGGTCACTCTCCTCCCTTCCCCAATATCAGGGGGTAGTAAAATTTCCTTTGAGAAGGGAAATCTACTACCTATCCTGAAAAAAGCAACAATCCAACCAATACTCTACACTAGTGACCTTGCAAACCATCACATGCTGTCCAACCTTTTTTCTAAGCGAGCTAACAGAAGACAGCAAAATACGTTACTAACACTACCTGTCAGCTGCTAGTACCCTGGATCACTCTTGGTAAGGTTTCAGGCCAGGATATGCGACTGAGGGTATGTCTACACAGCAGCTCATGCCAGCCAACTCAGGCTCATAGGTCTCTGGCTGGTTTCACTAAAGCACAGACTTCTGGGCTTGGGCTGGAGCCTGGGTTCTAGGACCTTGTGTGGTGGGAGGGTCCCAGAGCTCAGTCTCCAGACCAAGCCGGGAAGTCTACACTGCAATGAAAAAGCCCCGCAGACCCAGTTCTGTGAGCCCAAGTTGCCTGGCGTGGGCTAGCTCTGGTTTTTCACTGCAGTTTAGACATACCCCGAGACAGCACTTATTGCTCTTGTGGCTGATCTGTTCATAGACAAGGACATACATACACAGCATCCTGGTGGCTCTCTCTGCAGAGAGAGAGAGAGAGAAAAGACAACAACATGGTCTGAAGTGCCAACAATAAGTAGACAGCATCCAGCTCCTTCACATCAAAAGGACCTTTCCATTGTAAGGTTAAATGACTTGCCCAAGTTCACACAGGAAGTGCATGGCAAAGCCAGGATTAGAACCCATATCTCCTAAACAACAAGACCATTCCTTCCTTCCTTCCGCCTGATTAAAGCCACTGGTACGGGCTCCAGAATGCAAAATTCTAAAACAATTAAAGCATAAAGATACATTTTTACTCCTAACCTCCATACTGACTTTAATAGCCACTAAAGACCAGCTAAAAGTGGCATTTATAATCTTTAAGCAATCTAGTTTACTCCTGGAGGGATTCTGTGCCAAAAAAAAAAAGAAATTCTGCAAAATGCCGCATATTTTATCAAAATAATGCAATATAATCACACCAGTTCCAATTGTTTCGGTAATTTGTTTAAACTATAATACAGAAATTTCACAATAACTATTCAGCATTTCCTAAACACATGAAAGTTAAGTTACGAACACTTGGTAACTAATACCCTGCATTCCAGTTATAGTCCTGGATTTTCATTTAAATTACATTACAGAACACCAAACAGCAAACAAACAAACAAAAAAGTAGAATGTCATTTTAAACTGCTCAGATTTTCACACATGAAAGTCGTACAGTTTTGCTAATCATTGTCCTGAACCTGGCTGGGTACTTTGGGAAGTGCTCGGTTCTGATTGTCCTGACATTTTATTGACTCCTTGGTAAGTATTTTATTTGCCCTCAAAGTCTTTTTTTTTAAATGGATAAGTAAAATAAATCCTGAGCTGTAATCTAACCCCACTTTGGCACAGGAAAAGAGTGAGAAAGCACATAAGATCTTCCTAGCTGATTCTGTTACTGTCATTTAGGGCAGGTCTACACTGGCAAAGTTACAGTGCTGGCAGTTACAGCGCTGCTCAGATAGCACAGAAGGAAAACTGCTGTTGTATGTTCACACTGACAGCTGCCTGTGCAATAGCATATTCACACTTGCGGTGCTATTCAGAGCGGTGCACTGTGGGCAGCTATTCCACAGAGCACCTCTTTCTCTTTTGCTGCTAAGACTTGTGGAAAGGCGGAAGGGGTTGCGGGGCATCCTGGGTCCTGTCCCAATGCCCCATGATGCATTACTTCGCATCCCAGCAATCCCTGTGCTTCCATCCACATTTGGCGCCATCTTTCAACGGTTTGTGTACTGCGCGCTCTGCCCTGCCTCGCCTCTTTCTGGCTTCAGGAATGGATCCCAAGCTGTTGACAAGAATGCTGTTCGCACTGACCAACATGTCACGGGTGACAGTGGAGATATTTCTTAAACTACAAAGGCAAGAGGAGTGTGACATTGATCTCGCCACACATAGTAGCGATGACACGAGAATACTTGTGGTATTCACGGAGGTGCTGACCACAGTGTAATGCCACTTTTGGGCTCGGGAAACAAGCACTGAGTGGTGGGATCACATCGTCATGCATGTCTGGGATGACGACAAGCGGCTGCAGAACTTTCGCACGAGGAAAGCCACATTCATGGGACTGTGATGAGCTCGCACCAGCCCTATGGCACAAGAACACGAGAATGAGAGCTGCCATGCCGTTGGAGAAGAGCATAGCGATTGCACTGTGGAAGATGGCTACTCCAGGCTGCTACCGATCGGTCGCTAACCAGTTCGGAGTGGGAAAGTCAACCGTTGGAATCGTGTTGATGCAAGCGTGCAGGGCCATTAATTGCATCCTGCTCCGAAAGACCGTGACTCTGGGCAACGTGTGAGAGATTGTGGATGGCTTTGAACAAATGGGCTTCCCTAACCGTGGTGGGGCGACAGATGGCATGCACATTCCAATTCAGGCACCAGACCACCTAGCCACTGAGTACATTAATCGCAAGGGGTATTTCTCAATTGTTCTCCAGGCACTTGTGGATCACCGTGGGCATTTCACAGACATTAACGCAGGCTGGTCCGGAAAGGTGCATGATGCATGCATCTTTCGGAACACTGGCCTGTTCAAGAAGCTGCAAGCAGGGACTTTCTTCCCGGACAGAAGATCACCCTAGGGGAAGTCGAAATGCCCATCATGATCCTGGGAGACACCGCCTACCCCTTAATGCCATGGCTCATGAAGCCATACATAGAGCAACTTGACAGGAGCAAGGAGCGGTTCAACAACAGGCTGAGCAAGTGCAGAATGACTGTTGAGTGTGCATTCGGCTGTTTAAAAGCCTACTGGTGATGCCTGTATGGGAAGCTGGACATGGCCGGTGACAATATTCCTATGCTTATAGCCGTGTGCTATATGCTCCATAATATTTGTGAAGGGAAGGGTGAAAGCTTCACTCAGGGCTGGACCGCACAGGCTCAGCGCCTGGAGGCTGAGTTTGAACAGCCAGAGACCAGGGCTATTAGAGAGGCACAGCGCAGGGCCATAAGGATCAGGGAGAGGAGAGAGTCAAATGAAAAAATTCATCAGCAAGGAGGAGGCTGGGGGAATGGAAGGAATGGGGGAGTGAAGGTCTCAAGAAGAGGAGGGGTCCCAGGATGGCTACAGATTTGGGAGTGTCCAGGGATCATACCCAACCTTCTCCTTTGGAGTACGATGCACCGGGTGCTGTACTTCAGCAGGGCCAAACTGCAGATGGATGGGTGCTGAGTACAGTGGGTATTGGGAGTCCACACTGCTGGACTGTGAGGAGGGAGGAGTGGAATGCTGCGAGTAGAGAGCAGAGCCAGGAGGTTGATAGAAGTGTGTTGGTGGTGTGTGGGGGCGCATGGGAAAGAGTTTTGCGACAGTGGCTGCATGGGAGGGCGGGCGCGGAGCTGCTCGGTTTGAAGAGCTAGTATCTCCTGGAGCATGTCTGCTTGGCGCTCCATAACTGTTAAGAGCCGCTCTGTGGCTTCTTTCTGGTGTGCCGTGCTCTCCTTTCGTTCCCTCTTCTCCCAGTCTCACCACTCCTTCAATTCCTGTTTCTCGGCGGCGGAGTGCATCATAACCTCACGCATAAAGTCCTCCTTAGTTCTTCTTGGACGCTTTCTAATTCTTTGCAACCATTCTGCCACCGATAAGGGAGGCTGGCCTCCCAAGGTCATCTCTGTGAAGTTTAAATGCAACATTTTACAGAAGCAGTATTGTTTGCAACACAGACAACACTGTTTCAGTACTTTAAAACACAAGCCAGTACTCACACACCTGTCAATAACTGGCTGACCCCAGGCAAGCAAAACATAAGCCACAAGACCCCCAAAATGGTGAGTAGGGGCAGGGTAAATCACTGTTCCTGGACCCTGCTGTACACGGGCACGTGGCTCTTGGGCACTTAGGGAGAGCCAGCACTGTAGGGAGGGCCTGATAATCATTCCTGTTCCCACACTTTCCACACGAGGTGTTCATTATGGAAGATATCTCGCTGCTGAGGGTGAGCAGGGAATCAAAAGAGGGTCTTCTCCAAGCATGCGGCTTCCGCCCTGGCCCCTATGCGGCTAGCCTGTGTGCAGCTATGGTCCCGCCCCCCCCGCCCGTGACGACACAATGGCGCGGGAAAGTTACCGTTAATGGGGCAAGAAACAAAGCAGCTCTGCCGAGGAACCTGCAGGAGTGGATTGCCCAGTATCTCCATGAGAGTTTCCTGGAGATCTCTGAGGGAGATTCACGTGAAGTGAGGGAGTGTATCAACAGCCCATTCCGCCGCTCAAACTAGGCAGGAGGTGAGAGACAAGCCTGCTTTCTGCAACCCTCCTGCCCCCAACAACTCGCTTCAGCAATTCCCAAAATCAGGAGCCTCCTCTCCTGTTTGCCCTTTGCCAAGATCTGACTGCTGTGACTGGCTAGGTTCCTCCAGGGTAGAAAAGAGCTCCTGACTGCATGCATTTCTGGCCTCCGAGTCATCCTCTGCTTCTGGTTCCCCCTCCCCCTCTTCATCCAAGCTTGCTTCCTCCTGGCTCAGTCCACTCTCGACTGGCAACGAAGCCAACGAAGTATCCACAGGGGCCTTTGCAGTGGAGGTGGGATCACCACCGAGAATCGCGTCCAGTTCTTTGTAGAACTGGCAGCTTGTGGGTGCAGCACTGGAGCGGCGGTTTGCCTCCCGTGCCTTATGGTAGGCGTTCTGCAGCTCCTTCACTTTGACCCTGCACTGCAATGCATCCTGGTCATGGCCCTTTTCTATCATGCATCTAGAAATCTGTCCATAGGCATCATAATTCCGACGGCTGGAGCGCAGCTGTGACTGCACTGCCTCCTCTCCCCAAATGCCGATGAGATCCAGCAGCTTGGCATTGCTCCAAGCAGGGGATTGCCTGGTGCGTAGAGCACGCATGGCCGCCTGGAAAGATACGCTGAAACCACTGCACGCATCACCGAGCAAACAGGAAGGGGACTTTCAAATTTGCAAAGGAATTTATGGGGTGGGGCTGACGGTTGGTCACCTGAAGGCAGGGCAGTAGAGTTCAAACCGATGGCCAGAGAGGTGAGAACAGGCATTGTGGGACACCTCCCGGAGGCCAATCGCAGTGCTGTAATCACCGTGTGTCTACACTGGCACCGCAGCCATGGCACAGAAAGCTCTACGCCTCTCATCGAGGTGGTCTTTTTACAGTGCTGCATCTGCGGAGTTTCTGTGCACTAAGTGGCTTGGTAGTGTGTACACCTCGGGAGTTGCAGCGCTCAAAACTGCTTTACTGCGCACAAATTGCCAATGTAGATGGGGTCTCATAAGGCTTTACATCACTCTGGCAATGTAGGAGCCTTAAAACTATTACAGGTTTTATGCTCCTGGGGGAAACTGACTGAGAATGGGAACAGTTAATTAACAATAGAAACATTAACAATGTTACTACTAGGCAAGCTGCTACATTTCTGCTTCAGAAAATGAGATCAATTAACTAGGAGGCAGGCTGCTATATTTCTGCCTCCGGGACAGAGCCTTCCTTCTGCATAAATAAAAGCCCTACCCCTCCACGCCCGGTGAGCTGCAGTAGCAAGCAGGAGGGACAGTCTCTCCCTTGGCACGCCCAACCCCGACTCCTGACAGTGATCAACATCTCCGCCGCAGGCATGCACGCCCAGCCACCTTCCCCTGCAGTGATTTGTGTCTCAGGCTGCTGCAGGCACACTGGAACAGATGCGCTGCGAGGGAAGAGGCACATGTCCCCCCGCAGATGTCTTTTGCATTTTTCTGAGTGGGCGGCACAGAAATATGCGGGCCATATGAATTCTGTGCCCCCACAGGGGAGCAGAATTATTAACTAATACTCCTGACAGAAACATCTACCCTTATTTCACAAGATTTTAGTGACACTGGGTTCTTATAGAAAGTAGCTCAATTTCTGTTGCTAAAAAAAAGCACATGGCTAGATTCTATAGTAGCTCTATGTGCAGAACTCCCATTTATGTGATTGTGACTTGGGAACTGGGTATGCAAAAAGGCTACAGAATCTGGCCTGCAATTTTGTGTTGCTGACATTCACCAATAATGCAGAGCTAAGTTTAACTCTTTAAAAAGAAAACAAGGAAGTATTCTTACACCTGTCTTCCTCATTGTATGAAGGCACAACAACAGAGAGCTCCTTTGTAGGAGGGTCATGTATGCTTGGTATAGATTCCTTCTTCCCTTCAGCATTTACAAAGAACCTCTCTTCTTCATGGCGATGAAAATTTGGCATTTTGGTGGCAGTTATATGGGCAACAATAGTAATCTGTCATAAAAAAAAACAAATGGTATTAGTGACAATGGTTCAGTAGCAAAGTCTATATTAATTGTTTGCATAACAGGATTCTGTTTAAGAGTTAAACAAACTATTCTAATTGGCTGAACAAGGGAGGATCAAATGTAGCCCACTGATACAGCCCAGTAATCCACAGCCATTCCTATTACAAACACGGTGGAGTGGTCTATTGAGGAGTGCTCTTTTATCCACTACCCAGATCAAAAAGGAATTTTACCTGTCAGGACTTATAGTCTTCATATGGCATTAAGCTGTTCTATTTTATGTAGACAAGGCATGGCCTAAGTTTCCTGGCAAGTCACCAGTGAAATTTTCAACTGGAAAAGGTTTGAGTTGCTCTGTGATAAGGCACTGGCCCAAGCTACCATAAACTTGCCTCAATGAACATTTTCTAGACCATGGTGCCCACCAGGTCTAAACCTTGTAGCTATGTCCACTGTATTTATTGATAACTAGTCACTAAAATCATAGAGTGTAGCAAGCATTAGCAGCAACTATAATATTAAGCAATTCCATACAAGAAGCAAATCTTATCACATATAAAACTGATATTAAACTATGGAATTATGTGTAAAAACTTTTGTTTACCATTAAAAATGCCACATACTCATAAACAGAGTGGAACACACACACAAATATCCCACATATCTCTACCTCTATGAACAGACTAACTAGTAAAGAAGAGATGGGCCACCATAATCTTCAGTAACCACAAACTTCAGTAACTACGGAATGATGTCTTAGGGCTTACAGAAGTATGACCATAACTGAATAGGGAAAGAGGAGAAAAAAAACAAACCAATTAAATATATAGATAATAAGTTTGCATGTCTTCTAAATCCTATTTCTAGGTCTCCAGTGTGTGTTTTAAGTCTTATTTTCACCTTCTTATTTGTAATGAATTTGGGACAGGGACTGTTGACATCTGTCTTGTGCAGCACCAGACACACTGCTGGCACTTACTAATAAGTCCTGCTGGCTTCTCCAACAGAGCTTCCAAGTTCTCTGAACAAAATAAAATACTTAAATGAAGTTGTAGTTTAGATTTTCTTAACATTAGAAAAGTGTGCTTTTATCCTCAAACTAAATACTGTAATGGCTCCAGGGAATGTAATCTAGCTTTAAATTTAAGTTTTATTTATAGCTTAAATTCTAAATAACATTCCTTTTAAAACTGGGTCACAGCAAAAATGGTTGAAGTCTGAAAGTTAGCAAGGGCAGTCTTCAGTACTTTGTTTGAAAGAAATGGGTTTTAATTTCACAAAATAATGAAGTTTTGAAAATTGCATAGGACCTGATCCTACAGAGCATTGTGACCTCCCTCTCATTGGCTTCAGTGGTAGCTGAAGACGCTCAATATCTGCATACACCTCAGAAAGTTTCTTTTAATCTACAGGTGTATACTTAGGCCATGTCTACACTACGGCAGCCTAGCTAAAGTGCTGCAGCTATGACACTGTAGTGCAGATACTTCCTACAGGAATGGAAGGAGTTTTTCTGTTGCTACAGATAATCCACCTCTCTGAGTGGCAATAGCTAGGTCAATGGAAGAATTCTGCCATCAGCCTACAGTGGGGGTTGAGTCGCCATAGCTACAGCATTCAGCAGTGTGAATTTTTCCACACACTAATCACCATTAGCTCTGTCAACCTAACTTTTAGGCTCTGATACCACACACTAAGGAAAGCAGGCAAAACTTTGAATGGAGCCCCATTGACTTAAGTTTTCAGAAGTCCACCCTTGCAGGTTAGCTTGTCGGATCAGGGCCTTAAACAGAGAAACACTATTCACATGTTCACAAATAGGCAGGCACTTGTCAGTTGACAGAATATTCATAGATTCCAAGGCCAGAAGGGACCTTTGTGATCGTCTGATATGACTTCCTATAACATACAGGCCATGGAACTTCCCCAAAATTATTCCTAGAGTGTATCTTTTAAAAAACCCATCCATTCTTGATTTAAATATTATCAGTGATGGAGAATCCACCACAACCCTTGGTAAATTGTTCCAATAATTAATTATTCTATTTAAAATTTACACTGTATTTCCAGGCTAGCTTCAACTTCCAGTCATTAGATCTTGTTATACCTTTCTCTGCTAAAGAGCCCATTTTAAATATTTGTTCCCCATGTAGGTACTTACAGATTATAATCAAGCTACCCCTTAACCTGCTCTTTGTTAAGCTAAATTGATTGAGCACCTTGAGTGTATCACTATAAGGCATGTTTCCTAATTCTTTAATTATTCTTGTGGCTCTTTTTTCAGAATGGTCTCCCATTTTTCAACACCCTTCTTGAATTGTGGACACCAGAAATGGACATAGTATTCCAGCAGTGGTTGCATCAGTGCCAAATATAGAACTCATGTTCAGCCTATTATCCACAATGACCACCACATTTTTTGAGCAGCAAAGAGTCCTGTGGCACCTTACAGACTAACAGATGTATTGGAGCATGAGCTTTCGTGGGTGAATACCCACTTCGTCAGGTGAGAAAGCACTTCACTGAGATTAGATAACAATGTATGAGATGAAGGATGAACACCTTTCCACACCAATTTGCCAACCCAGTGGGAAAGTCTTTATACTAGGTTCAAAGGGGACAGATGACAAAAGATGTAGATATAAAGAAAATGTGCTCTTACCAGAGGGCTGGATGTTTGGGATGGAATGAAGAATTACAATAGGGTCATAGGAGCAGCAAGAGGTAAAAGAGTGGGAGAATCTGCTCAACATCTTACATGTCTATACATAAAGGCAAGGAGTATGGGGAATGAACAGGAAGAATTGGAAGTATTAGTACAATAGCTAACTTATGATTTAATAGGTGGGTGAGATGAATCTCAATTGCAATATTGGTATAGAGGGGTATAGCTTGTTCAGGAAGGACAGGCGGACAAAAACAAGGGAGTAGATGTTGGGTTACACACCAAGAATATATACACTTGTTCTGAAGTCCAGGTGGTGGTGAGAAGCACACAAGGTTAAAGTCCCGGGGTGAAGATAAAAACAGAAAAAAACAAAAAAACAAACAAACAGGGGCAATGTCATATTAGGGGTCTACAATAAACAACCACATCAGAGACAATGGATGATTTATTTCTAGAACAAATAACAGAAATATCCAAAACACAAGAGCCACCCAAACATCTGTTGGAAAAGTAAAGTGACATAACACAAAGTGTCCTATAAATTCTTGGACTGTATTGGGGACAACTACTTTTTTCAGAAGGTAGAGGAAGTAACCAGGAGACATCCACTTTAAACTTGATTCTCACTAGCAGGGAAGAATGAGTTGCAAATCTGAAAGTTAAAGGCAATTTCGGTGAAAGTGACAATGAAATGATAAATTTCCTAATTCTAAGGAAAGGAAGGAGTGAGAGCAGCTGAATAAGGACAATGGACTTCAAAGAAGCAGACTTTATCAAAACTCAGGGAACAGTACGTAAGGTCCCACGGGAAGAAAATCTAAGGGAAAAAGGAGTTCAGGGGAGAAAGTTTCTCAAAGAGATAATATTAAAGGTGCAACAGCAAACTATCCCAATGCAAAGGAAAGACGGGACTAATACTAAGAGGCTAATATGGTTGCATTACGAGCTCTTTAATGACCATCGTGAAAATCAAAAAGGAATCCTACAAAAAGTGAAAATATAAACAAATTGCTAAGGAGGAGTACAAAGAATAGCACAAGCATGTAGGGACAAAATCAGAATGGCTCAGGCACAAAATGAGTTACACCTAGCAAAGGCAGTAAGAGGCTCTATAAATACATTAGGAAAAACAGAAAGATGAAGGAAACACACTACTTAGCAAGGAAGGAGAGCTAATAACAGATAACATCAAGAAGTCTGAGGTGTATAATGACTATTTTGCTTCAGTCTTTACTAAAAGTTTTTATGGTGACCAGATACGTAACACAATATTAAGAACAAGGGAGAAGGAACACAACCCAAAATAGGGAATGAACTGGTTAAAGAATATTGAGGTAAATTAGATATATTCAAGATGGCATGGCCTGATGAAATTAATCCTAGGTTACTTAAAGAACTAGTTGGGGCAATCCTGGAAGTGATTATCAGCCCAGAAGACTGAAGAAGGGCAAACATAGTACTTATCTTCAAAAGAGGGGAAGGGCAGAGAAATAAGAGCCCAGGGAATTATAGACCAGTCAGTCTAACTTCGATACCTGGAAAGATCTGTAAGCACCTAGAAGTTATTAGGGCAGTAAGTAATAGCCAACATGAATTTGTCAAAAACAAATCATCCCAAACCAACCTACTTTCCTTCTTTAAGGGGCTACCAGCCTAGTGGCCGGCGAGGGAAGTGACAGACATGATATATCTTGATTTTAGTAAGGCTTTTGACAGTCTCATAAGCAAACTAGGGACATGTGGTCTAGATTAAATTGCTATAAAGTGGGTACATAACTGGCTGAAAGACCGTACTCAAAGAGTAGTTATCAATGGTTCACTGTAAAGCTGCGAGGAAATACCTAGTGAGGTCCCTCAAAGATCTGTCATGGGTCCAGAACTATTCAATGTTTTCGTTAAGAACTTGGATAACGGAGTGGAGAGTATACTTATAACATTTGCAGATGGCACCAAACTGTTAAGTGTTGTAAGCACTTTGGAGGACAAAGGTAGGATTCAAAATGATCTTGACAAATTGGTCTAAAATCAACAAAATGAAATTCAATAAAGACAAATGCGAAGTACTACACTTAGGGAGGAAAAAAATCAATTGCACAACTACAAAATGGGGAATAACTGGCTAGCTAATAGTACTACTGAAAGGGATCCGGGGTTTATAGTGGATGACACACTGAACCTGAGCCAACAAACAGGATGCAGCTGCAAAAAAAGACCAGGATGCAGCTACTGTTAACAGGTGTCAGATGCAAGGTGGAGGAAGTAACTGTCCTGGGTCTGCTCAGCACTGGCGAGGCCTGAGCTGGAGCACCGTGCCCCGTTTTCGACACTACACTTTAGGAAAGATATGGACAAATCAGATTAAGTCCAGAAGAGAGCAGCAACAATGATAAAGGGTTTAGGAAACCTCCTTCCTTGGAGGTTTTTAAGGCCCGGCTTGACAAAGCCCTGGCTGGGATGATTTAGCTGGGAATTGGTCCTGCTTTGAGCAGGGGGTTGGACTAGATGACCTCTTGAGGTCCCTTCCAACTCTGATATTCTATGATTCTATGATTCTATAAAGGGTTTAGGAAACCTGATCTATGCGGACAGGTTAAAAACACGGGGCTTTAGTCCTGAGAAAAGAAGAGGACCAGATGAGAGTCTGCAAATACCATAAGGGGTATTACAAAGAGGTGCGTGGCCCTTCCCCAGGCACCAGCTCCTCCTCAGTGCTCCCACTCCGGTTTGGGGTCCAGTCGCCCCCCGCCGGGGCTCCGGGCTGCTCCCCCCTAGGAAGGGATAAGCGGGGCCTCGCCCAGCGAGGGGCTCTGGCTCTCGGCTCTCTCAGGGGCTGCTCTGTTTGCGGGGCAATGGCCCCGCCCGGGCCGGTGTGTGCGGAGCCCCCTGGGGCCGGAGGCTCCCGCTCCCTCCCCCCTCGGGGGTCTCTCCCCACTCCCGGGGGATGGGGGGCGCTGGGCTCCGCACTCACCAGGATCAGGGCTGCTGCCGCCAAGGCAGCGAGCGCCGCGACCACGTCAGCCAGGAGCGACTCCATGGTCCATGCCCGGCGCGGCCCTATGGAGCAGCTCCAGCGATGCGGAAGCGGCTCCCGGACGCGGCGCTGACAACCAGCGTGTCCTCCCAGGGTGTCACGCGGGAGAGGAAGTGCGCTCCCGACCCCGGAAGTAGATCGCGACGGGCGGAAGTGAGACTATGGCGGCCGGATTCAAGTAAGTGACCGAGCGAAGCAGCTTCTTGTCCCGGCCTAGCGTTCGCTCTTCCCCTCCCCCTCCCGGGAGCCGAGCTGCGCCGGCCGGGCGGGCTCTGAGCCGGGCTCGCCCTGGCCCTGGGGGGATCGATGCAGCCGCCGGGCCCGGTGCCGTCAGTCGCCTTAGCGGGGCTCTCTCAGCCCCGGCGTTGGCCGCGCGAAGAGCCGGGAACGCGGCACGCGTCTGCCTGGAAGCTGCCCTGGGCCCAGGCCGCTGCCGAGCCTCAGGCCTGGCGATGGCTGCGGGTGCCTGCTCGTAACGTGCCGTGCCCGGAGCTCTGTCAGGCCCCGAGGCTGGGAACCGCCCCCCGGCCACTGCCAGGAGCGACTCCCCCGGGATCTGCAGCGCCTGCTCTCAACAGCGGGGGGGGGGAGAGAAACACACAGCCTAGGAGACCCCCCCCCCCTCGCCCCTTACGTTCCCCGTGCGCAGCTGATCCACCCACTCCTTGTTACTGGTGATCGTGGAAATCGTGAGGCTAAGGGCATGTGTCCTGCATGCACTTGGCACATGTATCAGAGGGGTAGCCGTGTTAGTCTGAATCTGTAAAAAGCAACAGAGGGTCCTGTGGCACCTTTGAGACTAACAGAAGTACTGGGAGCATAAGCTTTCCTGGGTAAGAACCTCACTTCTTCAGATGCAAGTGGCACATGTGTAATCTTATGCATGTGAGTAATCCCAGTGAGTTCACTGGGGCTCCCCATATATATTACAATTCTGCACAGGTATCATGCTATTTGTGGCCCTTACTCTCTGTTAGAAAATCAACATTTTATTTTCCCCTTCTCTTACACAACATATAAAAAGCAACTCCATTTATTTTTCATTCCATCCAAATGTATCTATATTCCAAAACTAAAAACTTAGTTCAGAGGCAGTTAAAGGTATTAAGGTTTTGGGTCAATAATAGGAATGTGCCCTTTCAGTGTCCAGTTAAGGGGAGAGACCAGCCCTCTACCTCGCTACACCCCCTCTCAAATTATCCACTTTCAATGCAACATTGCAGTCTACCAGAGAAAAGTCCCTTCTGCTTCAAGGAGTTACAGAAATACACTCTTCTTCCCACGTTCATAAGCCTTGTAGTGTAACTCACACCTGTAACTGCTGTCTCATACTTTTGCCAAAAAGCATTTCATTCCCAGTATTATTGACCCCCCAGATATGTGAAATATTTTTTGGGGAAAGTGAGATTGCACGTTAAGGGTTTGTTTGTTTGTTTTGTTTTGTTTTGTTTTAAAAGTGAGAGCTAATCTTAACGAGCTAAGGTATTTTGAAACATGTGGATCTCTGTCTATGCCAGAGGAAAAGTCTTGGTGGAAGTCATAGCAACTATAATCTCTTCCTAATCAAAACAAGGCCCAGGCATTAGTTGCTGGAGTGGAGGGATCCATCTGTAGATAGTTAGAGGAAAGTGGGTGTTAAGTGTAAGGACTAGTTGGACAAGGAGATTGTTCCCAGGCATTTGGGGGAGGGTTGTTTCTGCATTGACCCAACTATCTTTTGCTTCTCCCCTGTGTCTCTCAATCAATTAAATGGGGCATAGTAGACAGTATTGTCTGAGCCAGTGACGAATAGCCCTTATGTCCATGCTAGTTGGGGATATCTCAAGGAACACCGACAGGGATTAACATTACCCTTGTGCTCGTAAATTGTCAGAACTATGTTGGGTTTATGTTGTCTTTGAAAATATAATAAAAGTTCTCACTCAGAGTTACCATTTCCATGACTTTTCTCCAAAAATATTTGTTTGAACAAAACTTGAGAAGGCCTTATGCCAAAGATTAACTTCTCTCCTGGAAATGTCATTTTAATGTCTGTGCTGCAGTGTCTTAACAACTTCTGGCTATGGAATATTCTGTTTTAGTTTCTGTGTTCCATATCTTAGCAACTCTCCGATTTGAAAAATTGTGTCATCATAAGGGCTATGCAGAAAACAGCCTGCAGCATTAAATTCTATGTTAAAAATGCTGTTGTCATACTACATACATTGGTGTATTTGTAACTTCTATGAAGAAAAGGATTATTTATTTATGCTCCAAATAAACATAGGTAGATGTAAGATAAATATAACTTGAATTCTTTAATTTTATCTTAAATTTGGTTAAGGCAATACATTTGTGTTGTAAAGAAAGGCCCTGAGAAGCAAAGTAAAGGGAAGGCCTGGAAAATAAGAAGTGATAAGGCCAGAAGGAATAAAGAGGGGAGGATGTGTGGTTCAAAGAATAACTTATGGGATAAGGGGAAGTTTCTAAAAAGGCGGCCTCTGACCAATAGGGTGACTGCAGATGGTTTTAAATCAAATAAAGAGAATCTATCTTAAAATGAGCCAACACGGCCCTTCACCAACCCACACACCAGTGTTAAAGCCTATGTCAACCCAGGTGAGGGATAGCTCAGTGGTTTGAGCTTTGGCCTGCTAAACCCAGGGGTGTGAGCTCAATCCTTGAAGGGGCCACTTGGGGGATCTGGGGCAAAATCAGTACTTGGTCCTGCTAGTGAAGGCAGGGGGCTGGACTCGATGACCTTTCAAGGTCCCTTCCAGTTCTAGGAGATGGGATATCTCCATTAATTATTATAATTATTATTATTGTAAACTCTTCAGGTACCAAATAATAATACAAAGGTGACACCCCACTGAAAATTTTAAAAAGTGGTAATTTTTGAAGCAGTCATGTTGTGTATGCATAAACCAGTTAATCATCACAGTAACCTGAAAAATTCAAATACTACATCAATTTTAATTTGCAACATTTCTTAAAAAATATTTAACATTCCTATTTCAATCAAATCTCTTATGCAGCCATAACTATGGTATTGCTACAAACTCCACCATAATATTAGCTTTTACAGATTCTCCGTTTTCAAGCTAGGGTTTTTGATGTATGTAGTTACATAAGCTGCAGTAAAGGGTGGATTTTGTTGTGGGATCTCTCTTTCTCTCCCATTTTTCAAACTTCACTCTTTCTAACCCTTTTTCAAAGCCCTTGCCACAAGGCAACCATGCCTCCGGAACCTATGAGTTCTGGTGTCAAAATGACCAGAAAGAACACTGTAGAGGGCTCTAGTCTTTCTGAAATTGTCACTCACTTGGCTAATGTGCTGTCTCCACAGCATTGTCAGCCAAGGAACAAAAACAGAGCTTGACTCTGAAACTCAGATGCCCACTGAGTAACACTTGCTTTTCTGCTAGACTTTAGTTAGCTATTTACTTTGTAAAACAGATTATGCATATGAATTTTAAATTTTGTGTCTATTTTAGAACTGTGGAACCTTTGGAATATTACAGGCGATTTTTGGTGAGTAAAACATCATCTATACATAAGTTAAATAGACTTAGAATATATTTTTCTCGTACAGCTACTGTATCTCTGTTGCTGTTCTCTTTAAATTATACATAAACTCCAGTGGGGTTTTGCTTTTCCTTAAAGCCTTTCGTAAAAGAAAATCTTTCAGACTCTTCAGGACAGGGACTTTCTAGTCTATGGCTGTGCTCCTGTGAGTGTTTATGTACATGTGACTAGTTTCATTAGCCTCAAAGGGACTGCTATGTGGATAAAGTTAAACGTGCTTAAGTGCGTACAGGATTGAGGCCTTGGTTTGTACAGTGCCTTGCACAATGGGAGCCTGACCAGGGTGGTGGCTTTTAGGCGCTACCAAAATACAAATAATAAATAATATCACTGACAGTGTCCTTGAAAAAGACAAATTCTAAGTCTACATTAATAATGCATGTTAAACAAAAGATAATAGAAGATAAGAAGATGAAAGTAACAGCATGGATTTGTCAAGAACAAATTGTGTCAAACCAACCTAATAGCTTTCTTTAACAGGGTAACAAGCCTTGTGGGAAGCAGTAGATGTGGTATATCTTGACTTTAGTAAGGCTTTTGATACTGTCTCATATGACAGTCTCATAAACAAACCAGGGAAATATAACCTAAATGGAGCTACTGTAAGGTGAGTGCATAACTGGTTGGAAAACTGTTCCCAGAGAGTAGTTATCAGTGGTTCACAGTCAAGCTGCAAGGGCATCTTGAGCGGGGTCCCGCAGGGATCAGTTCTGTGTTCAGTTCTGTTCAATATCTTCATCAATGATTTAGATATTTATAAAGTTTGTGGACAATACCAAGCGGGGAGAGGTTGCAAGTGCTTTGGAGCATAGGATTAAAATTCCAAATGATATAGACAAAGTGGAGAAATTATTTGAAGTAAATAGGATGAAATAAGGACAAATGCAGAGTACTCTGCTTAGGAAGGAACAATCAGTTGCACACATGCAAAATGTGAAATGATTGCCTAGAAAGGAGTACTGCGAAAAGGGATATGAGGGTCATAGTAAATCATAAGCTAAATTGAGTCAACAGTGTAACACTCTTGTAAAAAACAACAGCAACAACAAAAAAGCAAACATCACCAGAATGAACCAACACCCTTTCTGATTGAATTTGTGTGTTCAGTTTATGTTGTGAATCATCTGAATAACTATGTTGATTGGCTTTTCTGGACTTGGGCCCTACTTAGATTTCTAAAGTATTTCCATCTTAAAAGATCAGCAATGGAAAAAAGGGTTAGTTGCAAAAATTAAACAATGCAAACATTTGGAAATTTTCATTCAAGGTTATCAATGAATATTTCTTCTCAAGTTGGCTCTGGGTACTGAAAAATTAGTTGGCCTTTTTGATGATGTCACACCTGTGACTCAGTTTCTTATAGTGCCACAAAATTCACAGATTCCCACTATATTCATAGCAATTTACTGATTGCTTTGTCACTGCACCACTGATATGAGGTATTGCTTTTGTTGCTGAATGTCCTAAATAGCTGTAGGAAAGGCATATAGTACTGAGCCTTGAG